TTTTAATATTAAAACGATCTTAAAAACTGAAAACATCTAATGAACTGAATTGATGTCTATAGCAAATTCCCAGAGAAAATAAAATCTATTAAAATTTATTCAGGCTGTCAACCAACAGCTCACTTATTCAAACTTCACATCAAATGATTATCATCCATATCCACCCATATGGAATAGTCTTCCTGATAACGTAGTGCAAGCTGAATCTTTGGGTTCCTTTAAATCAGAGCTAGATAAGATTTTAACAACTCTGAGCTATTAGTTAAGTTCTCCCCAAGCGAGCTCGATGGGCCAAATGGCCTCCTCTCGTTTGTATAGTTCTTATGTTCTTATAACCATGACCTGCTGTGCCCTGAAAGAACATTGTCTCTAGCCAATGTCATTTAGATAGCTGACAATCAATCGTCTATTTTGCACAACTCTTCAGTTTTAGTACACCTCCCCATGCAATGGCTGAGTGAAAACTGACCTGAACTGGCCAGTACTCAGAGCAGCACAGCCAGAGAATTTGAGTATAGAGTTCAGTGTTGTCATCACATAAAAATTTGCAGAAGATATACCTCTTCAAGTGTAATTCGACCCCTCTGGCAAATGAAAAATCTTGAACGTGTTCAAGGTTCTCCCAGTCTTTATATAAACAAGCATCACGCTCCAATGTACATATTGTGTTTTCTTAAGGCAAGGTACCTTGGCTGAAGATTATAGCCTTAAACCAGTTTGGCTCCCAGTACTCTTATAAATCACGCAAGTCTTAAAATCCAAGCATGACACATAAATTCAGCCACATTCTAAGAAATTTTAAACCAAATTTACCAAACTAGATGCCTTTATACACTGTAAAGAATGCAATGCAGGCAACATGGTAGTGAGGAACAGACCGGTAATCTGAAGAGCAAAATTAAAGCTAACAGTGGACGTTTCTTCCCTCATGCTCTCTCGAAGAGGGCATTAGCAATGAGGAAACAAGCAATTTCAGATATTCCAAGAGCTTACCATTTTTTGAAGCCTCTTTGTTCCGCAGATGAGGTGGAATGTATCGTCCTGAGGGTAAGAGACATTTATGTGGTGAACACCTGAAGTGTATGTAGATCATAGAGCTTGCTGATTAAGACTTGAATAATTCTTCAGACTGATCTACAAATATGTGAACAACATGTTAAAATGGCAGACCTCGGCTCAATTGTTCTACAATGTTTTTCAGAGACTTTCCTGTAGCTAGCAGTGGTTGGACTTCTGCAGAAATGCTTATACAGTGACAGAACCATGACAATCTTTGAGCCACGATAAGCGTCCTCGGACTGCCATCGGAATACAGGTGAAACCACCCTACACCTACGGATGTGAAAACTATGTGCATGAAGGCTGAACACAGCGGAAACACTTACTGCCAGTGCCTCCGCCACCCTGTATATCAGCTGCGGAGTTCAAGTCTAGGGCAGCAAGCTGGAAGAAAAATTAAACCAGTGTCAAATCCCATCAACCACTGTGGTTTTATGCTATGGCCAAGACTGTAAAATAAACAGCTGGAAGGAGTCGATGCGATATTTAAACAGATGAGATGAGAAACTGCGTGATCCAAGCCCAGGCACTGGAGCACATGTCCGGCTCACTAAAGCTGAACGTATTGAATTACCAAGTGTGCAAGAAATGCATATACACTATTACTGTACCCGGAGGCAAAGGGTGAAAGCTATGTGTTCTAGTGCCGTAAGGGGATAGATACACGGCAAGCTAAGGTAGCATGGATGGAGGGGAGAGCCAAGTCAAAACGTGACGTACTTCCTGACCAAATGCAATAAAATAAATGCAGTGGGGGGGAAAAGAGAAAGCCGATGGACTGCTGCGTGTTCGGTGAGATCCGCCGGTACACTGCGTCCCAAGCGGACCCGAGCGAGCCGCTGCAGCTCGAAACCTGACACCCGGGACCCTGCTCGGGCCGCTTTACAATCCGCTGAGCTTGCACACGCATTTATTTCCATCACAGACGGCTATGCTGTCGGCGCAGACGCGTAGCCATCTTTGGCTGCCTGTTTACATTACAAATACGCTTTAACAGCACTGTACGACGCATCCACAAAACTGACGGCTTTCCCTAAAAACGACGTCGCGCATCACACGGAGAACACAGCGTACAGTGTGAGCTGTCTAGTTGCCATTTTTAATCCATTTTCCCATCACCCGTAACCAGGCGTGACGCGTTTGTTGCCGGTTCTTGCAGAACAATTTGTTTCCATCTTCCCTGAACAAGATGTCAATCTTAAAAAGGCATATTATATAAACGGACCCAAATGAATTAGCAGTACATTACATAGAAACAGGTTATTTCAGACAAGTCACATCATCACAATCGTATAATTAAACTGGACAATACAAGTAATGCGCCTAGCAACGGAGGAAACCAAGACAGTTATGAGTTAATCAGTTTACTTTCAACTTAACAGGTGAAGCAAACAGCCGTTACGCTGATGCCCGGCGCATCTTTTTCACTAGTAATAAACCGTCTCCCAGTTAATACATAACTAGTTACCATCGCTGGTTAGGGTACTAATAACAATGCAGAGTTAAACTATTTTCTTTAGGGTCGTCACTTTCATCTCGGATACACCTTAATCGGGGGCATAAAATCGGCTTTGATAGGGAACCATATGAGGCAAACCGGGAGCGGGACCTATGGTTCCTGGGGGTCGGATAAAAGCCGCCATCATCATCACCACCATCACCTCCAGTAACACCACTTGCCGACCACCATTTTAACCACCACCATCGCCGTCACCGGCCACCATTTTCGCCAGCCGGCCGCCACCATCCCATCCAACGGCAGCACCAACCACCATTTTAGCCCGTCATTAGCCGAAAGCTAGCGGGGGAAGGATACCAGGGGGGCCGGTACCGGAGGCGACGCTTACCTGCTGGTCTAGACCGTGCGCATTTTCGGCGACCACATGACTCATAACTAAGCACTGGTGGGGATCTCTATCCTCAGAAAGGACTTTCTTTGTTCGGCAGAGAGCAGGCAGCGCCAACGCGCGTTTTTTTCCCCAAGTCGCTCCTTTGTGCGTGATTTCCAAAACTGGCGAAATAAGAACAACAAAGCGATGTCAGGGATAATACTGGGTAAAAGATCTGTTTCGGCTTTAGAATTGCTTCGCTAAACAGGAAGGTCTGTGAACTCAGGGAGAGCGCCTAGACTGACACCCTCTACTGGTCCGCGCGGTGATAGAGCGCGCGCAGGCTACCGCGAGACTTTATCGGCCGACACAGCGCAGAGGCGCGAAGGATCGCGATATTTCTCTGGAAGAGAGTAGACGTGCCTTTAACTTATTATTTTACATTTTGTTATTCGGAGAATATTGTCTGGACTCGTCTTTGGTAATCTTTGTAACTGTACCAATCTTTGGTAATCACTTTAATAACTGTGGTTTTCCTAGTGGCGAATTGCGGTCCACTCGTTTTATTCTGAGGGAGCGCAAGTCAAACTAAGCAGTAGGCTACAGCTAGAATGCAAGAAGAGATGTGGATATGTTGGCTCTGTTTATATTCAGTGAGATTATATTAATTTGAAATCAGTGTGACCTGTATTCCCTTTGATACTACCAAAGGGGTGCGACTTTTTTCTGCTATCCAGTAAAAATGTAGTCCAGCATGCATTTTTTACTAGCCAGCGGGTTAGTGTTCAATTTTTTCTTGTCTAAATTACTCGCCTCGGGCGAACGCGTAAACTTAATTTCCAGTTCTGGTTACAGCGCTACTATACTTATCCACCCTGTACTTGGAAGCAGTTGCATAAGAATTAAAACGGTCAACTACTTATTTTTATTTCTTTCAACTGATTGACACCACGTAATATTACTATTACAAATATATGTAGTCACTGTGACGTTTTACTAGGTGAGCAGTATGAAAGATGGATCTGAAATGGTGTAATTATGCGACTTGTTATTGTGGATGTGTATGCGAGTGTAATGGCTAGTCCTATCAGAATAGGTTTCAGATCACTGACCTCAAGGGGTGTGCAGTTACTAAGTAAAGTCGGTGATAACTAGTACAGGTGGAAAAAATACTTTGATGACTTAAAGAGGGTTTGGTTTAGTATTTTCCGAGCTGGGTGGGGTTTTTATAACGCGACTAAAATTGTACAAATGATTGGCAGTATGATGATGATGATGATGATGATGATGCTGCATAACGGTGCCAGCTCTCTAAGAGAATGTTCTGTATTATTCTGAATGAAGTACAGTCTGAACACCGTTCTAACCTCAACAACTTCTTGCGAAGAGTCCATACTTAGGTTTATGACGTAGCCAACCTCCCCCACACCCATAAAACTGCAGCAAAGAATATGATACAACACACTGGTAAAATTGTCATAGCAGTTTGCTTCACTACAGTATTTTTCCTGAGGAGAACTGCCGAGTGTGCACTTTCTTGTAGTCTCCCTACGTGTTATGCCAGTCTGTCATTGATATATACGCCATGTTCCATTTCTACACTCTCTCCCTGGATAGTGATGACAGTGAGCTCCCTGCTTCGCGTGAAGCCCAATACCAGCTCCATTGTCTTTCTGACTCTGAGCTGCAGGTGGTTCTTCTTACACCACCAACAACAAAACCCTCCACCAGACTGTATTCCTCTTTTCATTCTTTGCTGATACAACTTAATTTAATTGCAAAATCACCAAAGAACTAAACTTCTAAAGGTAACCTGAGCCCGAGTTGCATATGTTTATCAATTAAAATAAAGTGATAGATAAAATAAAGTGGGCATCGAAGACATGCCACAGTAAACTTGTAAACTATTGTGCGTTAGACTTCCCGTTTAGGTTAAGTCGTCATTCATTTATCAGCATTACTAGTTAATAATGTAAAGCAAAAAACATTGAAACTACAAAGTTACAACGAAACACTAAGAGGAGCAGTTAAACATATCCCATAATCCCCCGCTTCGGTGATCCGGAAGAAATCGAGCAGTATCCCTTCAACTTCCTCTTTCCGTCTTAGCCGCTTTTAGGTAGGAGAAGAATATTTTGTGCTGTGAATGTTAATCGCATTTTAATCTTGCTGTATACGATGCCATCCATTTTATTGTACAATCGATAAGTGCAAAGCAACATCTAAGGAATGCGCACATGTTTCTGATTCATATTAGCAAGGCCAATTTTTGTTTAATAAACGTGTGTTTGTCAGCGTAAGGGAAGCCCTGACTGATCTGGAAACGCTCATGTGTTCCTGTATGCCGGCTTGACGTATTAAAGTTTTCTTTTTTAATGCTTGTAATTTTCCCTAAATAATTGTGTTTGAGAAGTCAGTGGCCTCTATAAACACTGTGGGCGTCTATTTAGTAATGTAATTGTCAAATGACTATATAAGTATTAACCGCGTTCAATTTTGTTTCCTCCTAAGCTCGCAATGGGACGTGTGATTAGGGGACAGAGGAAAGGTGCCGGATCAGTTTTCAGAGCCCATGTGAAGCATCGGAAAGGGGCTCCGAAACTACGGCGCATTGACTTTGCTGAACGGCATGGCTACATCAAGGGAATCGTGAAGGTAACATAGCTAAATCTGTTTATATGAATAAAAAACGTTATGGTCTTGAAGAGACGGCGTTGATTGACTGTGTACTGTGACGACCACAGGATATCATCCACGACCCCGGCCGTGGCGCCCCTCTGGCAAAGGTGGTTTTCCGTGACCCCTACAGGTACAAGAAGAGGATGGAGCTGTTTATTGCTGCGGAGGGTATCCACACTGGCCAGTTCATCTACTGCGGGAAAAAGGGTAAGAGGAGCGCTGGAGCGTTATCATTAAGCCAAAAAGCCTAATTTGCTTGAATCTTCTTTCAGTTTCATTGTTGGTGCTCCGCATTTGTGAGAAGTAGCTATTTATGGCTTCTCACTAAGCTTCTTTGACAAGTTTTATGAATAGGGTTTATTGTTTGACTGTATTGGTCAAAACTAGCTTAGCTATATGGATTGAGAAGCAGTGGTGTGAGACATCCTGAATCTTTCTTACTGAGAAGTATACCTCTTCATCCCACAACTATGTAGGATTTGCTTCTGGTAAGTTGTTGCTATCTAGCGCAGGGGTCCTCAGTTCTGTCCCTTTTCTGTCTGTCTCAAAGGTCAAGAAGGTACAAATCTTGTGGCCGGCAAAGTAATCATCATATCACTGTTAGGCTCTTAGGCTTGGGCAGGGTCCTTAACTTTGACTTCTCCAGGGATGCTGGGTGATGCTTCTCTCCGATCCTCACTTCTCTGTCACTTTGGAGAAAAGCATCAGCTAAATTAAATATATGTGAATATTATGTGAACGTGATATACTGAAGTATTTTTGTATTCCACAATTCAGCAGTAGTCTGATATCCGACCCTTGAACATTGCATCCATTTTAATGCAAGTAGTTCTTTTATCTGACGCTTTTTGTCCAAAGTGACTTACGGTAGAATGAAGATATAGTTTTATGTGTACTTTTTGGGATTTTAACTAGGACTGGGTGATTGTATCGATTTTTTAATGCTGTATTCGATACATTTCTACATACAGAATGACTTGGTAGTATATCGTTATATAGATTTTATTTATTGTAAATGTGGACAATATGGTTTACCATAAAATGGGAGGAGAAACAGATCGGGCATTGTCAGAAAAAGTAACGCGGGGTACATATGGGCATTGTCAGAAAAAGTAACGCGGGGTACATATGGGCAGTGCCAGACAGTGTAATGTGGGGTACATATGGGCAGTGCCAGACAGTGTAATGTGGGGTACATATGGGCAGTGCCAGACAGTGTAATGTGGGGTACACCTGCTCAAAAATGCTGTGCAGGGGCAGACGTGAAGTACAAATCGGGCAGGTGGTGCGGATCGAGTAGTGACAGACACCCCAGAAAGCCCTGCCCACCCACACCACGTTAAAAATAGGCCAGATGGTGAAACGCAAAGAAAAATACAGCACAACACAAGCATTACAAAGCACATCACATGTGTAGAAAAATGGGTGCCGGAAAAGCCAAACTCAAAAAAAAAAAAAATCTCAAATGTGTGTGTGTGTGTGTGTGTGGGAAAAAAATTGGCAAAGCAAAAATCTCTCCATACATTGAATTTCTTTGCAATAATAGGTGGTTTTGTTTATGGAGCACACATTTGTGGGCAGCACACATTTGTGGCTGCAATATGGCTCCATATATTTAACTTTCGAACAACCTAGTTGTTATGTACTTGAAATGCTTGTATTTAGTCAGTTTGTAATTTTATTTTTTGGTTCATGGGAAAATGGTTCAGCAGAGGGACAAAACTGCACTGAAAAAAATGTTGATAGCATTTTGAGTAAAAGCACTTAACTGAACAATCTGTTAAATACTTGAAATTTCCGTTAACATTTCAGGCACTTGGATATTTAGTCAATTTGTATTTTTTTTTTTTTATCGGACATTAAGTCAATTTGTTCTTTTTTTAATATACAATTTATGATGTTCAGCAGAGGTGCACTTTTTATGTTTTCCAGTTGGGAAATACTGATGTGAGTAAATAAACCCATAATTCATTCTGATTATCAGTCCTGAATAAAAAAAAAAAAAATATTGATATATATCGAATGCTGATAGTGACCTATACCAAAGAAATACATTAGCATCTTAGATATAAAAAGTAACACTTCTATTTGAAATTGCTTTGAGTTCCTGTTAAATGCAGATCATTCAGATTCAAAACAGATGGCATGGTTAGTCATCTCACAGAGTTAGTTATGATGTTTGGTTTATGCTTACGTCATTCCAGTAGAACATTAATAGTTAATGTTTTGTAATCCATGACTGGTCAGTCAGGTAATGGATATGAATTGCCCACCCCCCCTCCAGCTCAGCTCAACATCGGCAATGTGTTACCTGTGGGTGCCATGCCTGAGGGGACCATCGTTTGCTGCCTGGAGGAGAAGCCTGGCGACCGGGGCAAGCTTGCTCGGGCCTCTGGGAACTACGCCACAGTCATCTCCCACAACCCAGAGACGAAGAAGTCAAGAGTCAAGCTGCCCTCTGGGTCTAAGAAGGTCATCTCCTCTGCAAACAGAGCTGTGGTTGGTAAGAATCTGAACTGAGCTTTTGGGTGCCTGGTACTTGATAAGGTTCTACTTCAGTGTCCTATTATAACATGTTCCATTTCCAAAAAAGTGCATGGCGTTTTGACATATATATCGTTTCTAGGTGTGGTTGCTGGTGGTGGCCGTATCGACAAGCCCATCCTGAAGGCCGGTCGCGCCTACCACAAATACAAGGCCAAGAGGAACTGCTGGCCTCGTGTCCGTGGTGTGGCCATGAACGTAAGCGTGCTTCATTTTATCTGTACCTATTGGTGCAATGGCTTCATATTTTAAGTGATTTAAAAATGCTGTATATCCTAGAGTACATATAATTAAGTGGTGCAAATCAGAATGACATGAATTGTAACGTTTTTTACTTTTTTTTTCTCAAAAATTAGTTTAAAATGCACCATCTCCGTAACACACTTTTGGTGTAAATTGAGATCCCTCGGTGGAATTGGTGACCCAAAGCCATTAAAATTAGCGAAATGGAAAAGCTGCCGAATGTTCGGAAGAAAAATGGTTTTAGAGCGGGAAGCTGAGTTGCTCTGTGTTCTTCCCCCAGCCTGTTGAGCATCCTTTCGGTGGTGGAAACCATCAGCACATCGGTAAACCCTCTACTATCAGGAGGGATGCGCCAGCTGGACGCAAGGTTGGTCTCATCGCTGCCCGTCGTACAGGCAGACTGCGTGGAACCAAGACTGTCCAGGAGAAGGAGAACTAAAGCCTATATTCTCAATAAAATGTGTTTGGGGAAGCAGAACCCTGAAAAGAACAGTTTTGCATGTGTATTTTTTGTGTGGCTGACTTGTTATAGCTGTGGAAATGTAGGTATATTGCTGCAGCGTAGATGATATGGAGACACATAATGGTTGAGATACAGGATGTAAAAATTTGAGTGAAATTAATATTCTGTGTATATGACGACATGGAAATTAGTCTTTGAAAGGTTAAGGGTGTGTAAGCAGATGTCATAAGATAGATATCATTTGGCATAACTCCTGTTGGTCATTCACCACTGTCACCAAGGAGTAACTTTATAGCTAAATATAGCTTTGAAACTTGTCCAATGAGCATTTGAAATGTAAATCTTTGCAATCTAGTTTGAAACTGCCTTAGTCTCATTTCATAATGCACAGTGTATAGTCAGTATAATTAGGGATAGCAGTACAAACTTGATATTAATAAAAATGTACAGCTCTTTAAATGAAGATAAAAATTTATCCACATATTCTGAAAAATATGGGTGTAGTTAAGGTGAGAGATATGAAAAACAATGGTTATATACCTATGCACAGCAATGGAAAAATAAATTATATAAGCAGGGGCTCATGCATTAAATAATATGTAAGGATTTATTTCAATGCCTACTGTAAGAATAGGATACACAACTGGCATGAAGAGAAAAGGGCACATTTCCATAATTTTTATTGGTGTAACTACTTTAAAGGAGTCATGGGCCTAAAGTTGGAACGGACAATGGTTGGGAAACAGTGGAAGACTGCATTGATTAATTGAAATACTATTTATTTTCTTTTTAAAAGTAGAATTTTACAGTGTATTGGGTTTGTACAGTGCTCTAAGGCAGATCATGGGATTTTATTAATCATGCATGTTTCACAAGAACTTTGAGTTATTGAAAACAAAAGTGTCAAAAATTATTCTATTAAAAAAAAAAAACAAAATGATAAAAAAGACAATGCTAAGACCTTACAGGCAAGTGGAGTTTTTGTCCCCTGAAGGAAGAATGCAAAAGGACAAAGGCCTGTAGTGCATTAGCAGTAGGGCTCCAGTCTCTGTACAACCAGTACAACATTGCACCAGTACACCCTGTGGGTTGTCCAATGTCTTCCTATGGTTGCTGCTTGGCCTTTCCCAGGATGCATTGCGCTTAGGAAGCCAACTCTTCCTTAGGCCTCTACAGCACAGTAAGAAACAATATAGGCCACTGGTTTGGATTTGGCAAACTTAGGCTAAACTTTTTGCAAATTCACACACTTTCAAATGGTGTCTTCTGCCGCCATTGCATGCCCCCTTCCATTTGTCGCTCGCCACCTATGAAAATTCACTAAGACGTTGCCATTTGTTACATTTCTACCTGTATGAAGTATTTACAACATACTATAAATAAAATGAGACCGTTACGATGTCAGTATTGTTTACTTTATTCTTGCTAAGGGGCGCAAAGTTTGTTTTTTGTTTCGTTTGTGCACAAAAAAAGCACATTGCAACTGTAAATCCAGAATTCAACGTCACCATGGCCAAAACAAAAGTCGGCAAAACAAGGCGGAGATTTCTGTACAGTCAGTTTTTTCTTTAAAAAATAACACAAAATATTCCTCAATATTTTTTTTTCCACAATTCAGCAAAATAATCCCTCTAAAATAAAATAGCAAAATAAAGGTTGTGGGGCTTAAGGTTTTTGGTACTTTAGACAAAATGACCACTTTCAAGTTACCAATCAAAATTCAGTACTTACCATTATCCTTAAATCCTAACGAATGATACTTTGCAACACATCTAACGGTTGCCCTTCACTAACCAGCAGTAATCCCACAACGCTGTTCATGTGCATTTCCCATGGCTGATGGGCCTTCACACCAGACCACATGAGAGGATTAGGTATATACACTTCAGATGGCTTACCCTTCATCTGGGCTGAAGTGACACGGTGGTAATTAGGAGTTAACCTAGAAGGCTTAAAGGAAAAGAACAGCTAGAAATATTATTTCTTCCCAGTTCCTGTCAATGAAAACCATGTTTGTACCACCATAAACAACAAAATGTCAGGGAAGAGAAATGCAACTAAGAAGTCTCTCATGCTTAACGCTGGTTCCTAAAACTGCTGTCCGCGTATCGAGAAAAATAAAAACAGGGCGTTTCAGAGCACTCAGACGGCCGCTGCTGTGCTGTAAGGAGTCTCTCTTTGGCCACACTAAATCTGGTGTCAAGCCATGCTAAAATGTTACAACATATTAACTAGAGTTTCAAAACGAATGAAAGAAAGGCAATGAAAATTCTAGAACAAATCACTTTCCACAACAAGAGAAAATGTCATAGTGTTAACCCGGCCATTCCAAAAACCCCGTATCAACTCAGGCAGCGGAGCCCATTCGGCATGGTTACAGTGGTTGACAAGTGACTGACAACTGACCCAAACTGCCCAGCAAAGTGATAAAGCAAAAGGTCTTTTTTTGTTCCGATACATCAGAAACTCCAGCAGCAGACAGACAGTCTTGCTGTAGGAACTGAGACAAACAACATACTATATACACCTTTGCTGTTTCCACAAGAGCGTCAGGCCCAGTTTATTACAACACTATACACTTCGCACTGCAGGCAAGCTTGTATTTTATGACAGGAATTCTCTGCAGGACGGACAAGTCTTTCCACTCCAGGTAAAATACAAAAAGAGTTGAACTGTGGGCACAAGGGACCTGGAGAGGTAATGACGTGAAAGGCCAGGGCTGGCCTTCTGCCTGGATCCAGTGTCTCGTCGGCGACGTTGGGGGTGAGACGCTGCAGCCGGGGTTATTCTTTAGGCTGGGCTGGGGCCGTTTCCTCGGTCGCCTCCCAGTTCTCTTGTGCTCGCTGGCCTGGGCGCGGTGGGTTGTTCACGTGTTGTGCTGCGGGGCCTGTGTACGGCTGTCCGTGTGGGTGGTTATTCTGCTGAACACACAGACACAAGGCACGCTCAGTACTGTTAGCAGGCAATGGCTAACTTCAGATTCTATAGTGCCCTGAGAACTGCTCTTATATTCAGTCTGATGTGAAACACTATTATTAGTAAATAACGTTCAAACTACTCAGAGGTGTCTTTTATATTGTATTTAATCTGTACTGTTTTGTTCTACTGTATTGTAATGTACCGGAGAAACACCAACTGCCGAAAACAAATTCCTTGTGTGCGCCAACAAACCGGATTCTGATTCTGGGGTATATTTAGATTAAGAATTTTTAAAAATGGCAGCCTAATAGAAAAGATCTGCTGTGGAGGAAGTTAAAGCTATACCGTTTCTGCAGATGCAGCATACCTGTTGGTACTGTGTTCCTGGGGAATGGGGGTACAGTGTGGTGTCTTCTGGGGGTGAAGCATCGTGGTCATCTGGAGCTTCTTGGTCTTCAGGTTCCTAGGGAGATTAAATAATTATCCACTGTACCACCCATCTAGATACATTACAGAAAAACCCAGTTGCTATATGCCCAGAACACAACTACAGGACACCATTTACTCATGCCACACCCCAGCAGACACACTTGTGGTACAGATTATTATATTGCACATGTAGTAATCCAAGTTACTACTTGGATTGAGGACGTGCAGAAGACGGAGCAAAACTGCACTGCTGCTGAAACGTGGCATAGTGGGTGGGTGGGATTCCGAGGTTAGCCATATTAAAAACAAAGATTCATCAATATAGTGTTTCCCAACCTAGTCCTCGGGGAACCCCAGACAGTCCATATTTTTGCTCTCTCCCAGCTCCCAGCCAATCAGGAACACCGAATACCTGGTACAGGTGCACTGGGAGCTGAGAGGAAGCAAAAACGTGGACTGTCCGGGGTTCCCCGAGGACTGGGTTGGGAAACACTGCATTAATATAATAAAAACCAAAATCTCAATATGTTTCAGCTCAGTAAAGAGAAATAGAAAGTGAATCAATGCTATTATATCTATCCCAGTTTCTTTTAAAGCTAAGTTTTTTTTTTTTGCAATCAATGTGAAGCAACAGTTCATCCTGGATCAGTCCGAGCTTCTGAAAACACTTATTTGTTGCAACGGGCCAACTAAACCTGAAGAGCAACAGTCATCCTTTATTGTGCTGGATAAATTCTGTTCTACGTAAAGCACCACCAGAGTACACATGGTTTTGTGCATATGCTTGATCGCAGCACAAAGGCAACAATGATACAGCTAAATCAGTCAAATTCATAAAGAATGAAATTCACAGCACAAGTGTTTGAAATGTCTCAGAATGGCTTCTGCTTTGTTGGCAGTGAGATCGGGTCTGGAAACACCAAAACACGGCCAGTGATGTTTTGGATTTCCAGGATACAGAAAAAGCAAATAACTGAAATAACTCTAGTCCCAGAAATTCCACTTCGTAACAAACACACAAAATTTCATACACGTCATCTACAGCCAGGACATTATAGTTTTCACTGGTTTCAGATATGACTAGACTCTCTAACCAAACAGAGAGACGAGCAGCAGTGTAAGTGACAGGCACCATGTCCCGAGGACATGCATGGAGGTTGTCACGGCAAGAAGTCCAGCTGTGAGGGGACGAGTTTGCCAGAAGAATGCTTGTGCTGAATATGTACATGCAAAATAAATTAAAATCACTTTGAATAAACACTCTTAGAAGAGACAGCAAGCAGTACTCGCCCCCTAAAAACCCTGCTATTGTCCTCATAAAAATGACAGAACACAAAGAGTTTAGTTCAATCTCACATAGGCTTCTGCCCTCAGCTTTGGCAAGTTGGCACATTGCATTCTTGTTGCTCAAGGCCAAATATAAACCTAAGGATCAAGTTCTGCATCAGCTGTAATGAGGTAGACATACCTCCTCAGGACAGAGCTCGCAGGCCTTGGCCAGAGTCATCCTAGCACTGTGTGAGCGCTCCAGGAAGTAGCCATTGGAGGTCTCGTTGCTTTGCACTGGGGGCGACCAGTTGTTATAGGTGTACTGGGGGTTTCCTGTGTACGGTCGGCGCTCCAGCTCGTCACCCAGCCACTCCACAGCCCACGTCCATTTTCTCTTCAGGTCTCCATTACTCTGTTAGTGAAGGACAACGCATCAAATTCATCCAAGGTTGCAAGCAGATGACGACTGTAAACTGATAAGCCATTCTCTCAAAGCCAGCGGTACCTGGAGGATCTGGTACGCTACTGGACAATTAGTGAAAAGTGCCACCATGCACTTTATGCACTGGTAGGCCCTCTTCTGGTAATGGTTTTTGGAGCGCTGAATGGTGTCAAAGAGGCCATCGCGGTCATCTGGGATCCCCTTCAGAGCGTTGTGGATCCTGGGAAGGCAGATGAGGAGGGTTGGTCCTGCTTTTGACGCATGCGTGCATAGAAGTACTTGGATTACGATGCACCCACCTGTGGGTCTGCCAGGAGTCCTCTATCAGCAAGATCTGAAGCAGTAGGTCCAAGTACGGCCTAAGCTCATAGGTATAGGAGTACGCCACCTAAAAGTACAAGAGAGCCCAGTGGAGAGTCATGTTTAAAGGGGAGATCAGTGCTGCAGATCCAGGAGGGACAGTGAGAGGCCCCTCACCTGCCAGAGTAGCTCGCTGAGCACAGTGGAGGAAAACTGGGGATTCTCCCAGCAGCTGAATCGCAGTAATTTGACAGTCTCCTCAGAGTTGCTGCAGTCCTCAATGATCTTCTTCACGTAGCTCGTGCGCACAAACAGGATCTCTGCCACCAGCTGCTGCACGGGCAGAATGGGCTGCGACAGGTTGGGGTCACCATAGGGGTTTGCCAGTGGGGGGTTGCCTGAGGGAATGGGAGAGCTTGTTACAAGACCAAGTAGATCTCTGGTGCTATAAACATAGGGCTAATTGGAATTGATTTGATCTTTTTACACACTCAAGGGTCAATGTGTTAGGTAATGTGAACAGCCTGTTCCTCCAAACAGCAAATGATGTAGCCGATACTCCAGGTATAAAGCATGGGGAGTCGAGAGGATCAGTTACTGTTTAGCTATGTATCGGAATGGGCAAGAAACGTGAAAAAGGTGATTGTGAAAGTGGCACGTTTGCAGGTGCCAGATATTATGGGTCGAGAGTCTCAGAAATAGACACCCTGCTGAGATTTACTCAAACTGAACTAGAGTGTACCAGCAATTCTGTAGATGAAAACACCTTGTAAATGACAGACGTCAGAGTTAAAATTCCAAATTTGTTTATAGTACCAGGAAATCCAATAGTGTGCGGAAGCAACAGTGGCGTGCAGAAAGGTGTCTCTGAACGCACAACTTGTTGAACCCTGACATGTTTCCTACACAGTACTATGTATGTGTCCCATGTGCAGCCTTAAGGTAATCAAAATGTCACCTTCAGTGATGGGTAAGACATTTCAGAGACATTATGATGGAGTCTCATGATGGATTAGATCAGGGATGGGGGACCTGATCCATGGAGGGCCAGTGTGGTTGCGGGCTCTTGGGATGGCCTCTCAATCAGCCAATAACAGTGGGTCCCCAGGACAGGACCTAGGAACTACTGTTTTACTAGTAGCTGGCTGAGAGGTCATCCCAAGTACCTGCACCCACACCGGCCCTCCATCGATCAGGTTCCCCAGCCCTGGATTAAAACGAGAGGGGTGATAATCACCATTAATCGACGACTGCATGCGAGATGACACATCGCAACAGCGCACCAGCTGGGAAACCACAGCATACAGCTTGCCCAGCTCCGCATACTGGTATTTGATGGGAGGTCCAGGCCCTTCGTCCAGGGCGACCAGCATGAAGGTGGCTGGCACGCTCAGCTTCAGCAGTTGGGTCTTCTCTGCCATGCCTGCAGCAGGGAGGGGGTTGGGGTTTACCTCACAATCAGAGCAAACGAAGGGGCTCTAAGGTCAGCTGCACATGGCAGATGCTTACCCAGGTTTGCGTACATGACGAAGAGGTTGAAGTACTGCTGCAGGTGACGACCGTGTTCAGACACCTCCCTCCGCAGCAGGTTCAGCACGGCTCTCAGTAAGTGGTCACTCAAGCTCAAATTGTCACAGGCCTGTTGCTGAAAGTGACTCTGTTAGTGATCGCTGCTTTTGTCTAGGCAACGTGTCACACATATGGTGTAAGAATTGGTGTAATGAACCGAGTCAGAAGCACTTCATAGCGTCTAAGTAACCATTAACATAGACCATTATTATTACATAGCCTGTTACTGAATATTCTCTACAGGTCCTGTTTGTTTCACTAATTTTTTTGTTATACCTGACTGGAAGGTCCTGGGGAGGCAACTGGAGAAGGACAGGGCCCATCTTGGAGGGAGAAGTGTGCAATAAATACGATGAGCTTGGCAAAGGCGCCCCTCACTTCCGCGCTGGGACACTCCAGCAGGTACTCGGAGAAGCGATTGGGATACGCGAAGAGCACCTTGTGTGCAAACCAGAAGCGCACGTTCTTGCTGTGACGCAGCAGGATGCAGAGCGCATCGTACCTAGGGAAGAGGCCAGAACGGGTAAAGCACCTATCTCTGAGAACCTCTGAAAGGCGTGTCCAGACATCTGAAACGCAGCACTCACCAGTCACTGGCAGGACCACGAACGACCTTCTTCGTGTGGAATCCAGTGCTGAACAGAAACTTAGCAGCAAGCTGAATACTAATCAGAGCTATTTCTTCTGCCTCCGGCAAAAGATGATCTTGTCCTGATTAAACCAAAAAGAAGACCTGGCTTAAAACGCTTCATCGACACTCGTCTTACGGCACCTGCCAGAGGAACCACAGCTGCATGAAAATGTTTTCCCATCACTGGATCTCCCCGTACTAGACGAGATCTATGGAAAAGTTAAACTTTACATTCAGCTCACAGACTATGCCACATCTGTTTCTGTCCTGCTCTAAACCAGTAAAAGTCCTGGTCTCTTTACTTCAAGGCTGATGCTTGAGGTCTCAAAACCAATGTTATGTGTACCGTTTCTGCTGAGAAACACCCAAATACAAGAGAAACTGTTCAGCGGGGGAAAATAAATAAATAAACCATGGTGGACATGTACCTGAGGGTGGGTTTAAATAGACACTGTTACAGGTCAGGAGTTTCTTTATAAACTGGAAATATTCCAGGCTGTATTGCATGCGGTTGTGCATGAACTGCACGTTCTGCTTGCGCACGCTGCACTCGATGGCGGCTGGCATCTTGATCTGGTGCGGTCTGGCGGAGATGGTCAGCTCCGTGATGTACTTCACCAGCTCTCCATCCCGCTCCGAAGAGTCCATGCGCTCGTAGAACAGGATGTAGGCGTTCCACCACCTCTTCTGGCGGCGGTAGGACATGCGCTTCATCATGTGGTCGAAGACCTCTCCCATGTACTCTCCGCCGAAGCACTGGTTCTTCATCTCCTCGTCGTCATCCATCTTGCACTCGGTGACGTCGCCGTCGTCAAACTTGTACCAGCGGTTCCGCTCGCCGTCGCCGCCGTTCCGCTGGATGATGTAGGAGTAGTAGTGCCCCCCGCTGGCCTGACCGCTGTGCACCAGCACACCAACCAGTCGGTACTTTGACCCACCAGGGGCTTCACTCTCTGAGGGTTCGTTCTGGATCACCTGGTTCTCCGGGTGCACGTCATCGCCCTCCAGCTTGGCCACTCCCGCCACCGTGTACGGCTCCATGTCCAGCTCACGCGGGAACTCGAAGTAGTCGTTGAACTTGATGGCGCACTCCCTCTCCCAGTCATAATCGAAGCGCTTCAGCTGGATCGCCAGCACTGGGGGCAACGTCTTGATAAGCAAACGCTTCACCGTGTCAACCTGCGGGAGCCAACATTACAGCTGTTTACTGGGACTACAAGAAGCATGCAACAAAATGCGAGACGTGGTGATCATAGGTACCTTCTTATTGCATTTCTCACAGTGGTAGGCGTTGGCACCCTCTAGCAAGTCTCCTTTGACATACTGCTCCATGGAATCCAGGAGGTTCTGGTGATTTCTGATATCTACGTTCAGCGTGGTGAAGGATTCCTCACACTCGTACCTGGAGCGCAGAAGGTTCCGCATCAGAGTCATCGTGCCAATCAGCATTCCACCCCCCTCATGACATGCCCTGTTAACCTGGAGACACGCACCTATGAGGACACCCCTGGCAAATTTTCTGATCAGCGAAGGAGCCCCCCAGGATTTTGCTGAGCATGGCTGGGTGACCAAGTGCTTTGAGGGCTTCATCCAGACTATCCACCAGGGAGTTGAAGAACTCAAGGGCATCATGCTGTTCTCTAAGGTTAACTGGCTCTCCCCATAACCTGAAGACAGGACATCAGAATACTATGTTCACCACACCCACAGGAACATGTGTACCAACACTGCATCGCTGCACAGGCTCATTTGATGGTAATGGGTCAAGACAGATGAAACGATTACCTGAACTGTTTCCAGAAGCCTCGAGGCACATAGTACTGCAATCTGGAAGCAGCCAGGTGTCCAAATATGACCTGCAGGTGGCGCAGTACACCAATATTGTATTCCTTCCTGTCCTCAGACTTGCTGACTGAAGGCTTCTCTTCAAACTGGTGGTGATAGCTGAATACTTCATCACGAGGGTCCACATTGCTCTGTGGGTCGAGGAACAACCATCTTATGTTTCAGTCACTGCATGCGCACAGGAGTGTATCTGAGACAGAGAAATACTTCTGAGGCTGACTACTCATATTCAACTACAGGGATGCCCTCAGCTCCAGGTCAGGCCTACACAGCTTATGACCTTGGAGATGGCTGATGTGTCAGTCACCGAATCCTGAGCAAGGATGAGCATCATCACAGGGCGAAGAGCATCAAAGCTCCATCGTTCTCGGGACAATGAGCCAGCTGATCCCACACCTCGTTATCCTGCTTCTCGTCCCCGGACATGTCGTCGTCCACGTCCGTGCCCGTGCCCTCGATGGCCAGGATGCCGTTCCTGATAGGTGGGATCATGTAGAGCTGCTGTATCACGGAGTTCATGTAGCAGGTGGCCCCCGCGTTCTTCAGGCCCACGAAACCTTTGGTGGGCCGCGGGCCCACAGGGGGCAGGTATTCCCATTCGCTAAGACCTTCCCCACCTAACGGAACAACGACAGCGCCTCTCTGTTTCAATTGCTCTGTCCAAAGAGCTAAATTAGAGCAGATATTTTTTACATAAAGTGATGAGGGAAATTTGTAAAATTAATGGGAGGACAGATAAATGGATACATTTTCTTTCAGGTATGTAGTACCTGCTCAGTACAGCTTACACCTGTACCTGGGGATTCACTGGAAACTCAGCCTAGCTACACGTATGTTTCATTGACTCCTTGATAGTCAATGTGCTATTTGCCTGTATGTCAGTTTAGAGCAAGGCATCTGCTACATGTGTAAAATTGTGGGAAAAAAAATGTACATTTCACTGTGACTGTCTGTCCTATATGTCCTACGAGACGTCCTACATGAAGGAAACTCAAGTGCATAATTCTGCTCCAAGGCAGCAATATTCTAAAGCCAAAAAGGGACCGAAAGGAACCGGTACCTAGATAATACATGTCAGTCAAGTTGTCGACGATCTGCTTGAGGTTCCGCACACAGCTGACGGCGAGCGCCACCAGCAGCTCGAAGGCGGCGTTGATGGTGGCGGGAGTGCCGCACACAGGGATGGCCTGCTCGGCCGGGAACTCCCCACTCTTCATGTACTGCAGGTAGACGATGGATGCCGGGAAGATGAAGTCATCGATCAGCTCCTGAAGGAAGCGGGATGGCGAAAGCACGGTCACCACTGAATCAGCGGACACTCCCGGAGAAGCACAACCCAAAGTGGAAACGTAACACACCATTAATGCTAGAAAACTCAACCAGAAGACATTAAGGCCCAAGTCAAGAGGCAGTTTCTTCGGCAAAATGACAGTGATCAAAACATTTACTGTAAGACCCATAAGAGAGACCTGCCCCACGCTCACTTTAATCAGGGTGGCTCCTCCCTTCTCACAGCCCATGTAATACTTCTTCTCTGGTGTTTGGAACGCCAGCAGCTCCTTTGTGACCCCAAGATGGCCTTCAAGAATGGTTTCCTCCAGACCAGTCTCGCCAGTCCTTTTCACTTCATCCTAATAAGAAAACAAAACGCTATTGTTAAAAATACAAACCATAGCATAGACCTCCACAGAGGCACAGTGTGTTTACGTATCAGAGTTGAATGTGTCCTAATAATCTACCTTGATTCTTTTCAACCAGTCAATCTCATTGTTCAGCAGAACTTCAGCGTTGGGTAGGTTTATACTGCTGTTGTATGCGTAGTTGAGTAAGTGCCTTAACAAAGTGAAGTAATCCCCCGCGTGCTTGGCTCTCTCTTTTGCAGTGCTCTGTAAACCCAAAATAAACAAATAAATAAAAATCACTAACAATTTTTAATATTCAACGATGCTTCAGCATGCCTTGCAGAACTGGACTGGTAAAACTCTCTCGCCCCTATCATAACTCAACAATCTGTAATACTTACACCTAAAACAGTGAAAAGAAGGGTGATGAAGAACAGGAGTGGTCTATGTCCCATGCAACATCTCGTGGCCATGAGGAAAAACTGTTCCTGAGCCATCTGACGAACAGACCTACACGGGGTGGGGGGGGTGGATTTACAATGAATAGTGACTCACTAGAACACGACGACATAACTGAAACCAAAAGGCAACACTACATAAATGTAAATGACAGTGCGGAATTCATCGTCTGGGTCACTCACTTGCTCTGGCAGTGCAGCAGCAAGTCGATGATGAAGGTTTGCCAGCCCTTCTCTTTGCTAAGTGCGTCCAAAGCCGTGGGAATGAGGGCAAAGCAGAGTGTCATCACCTCCAGGGCTTCACAGCACACCTGCTCATCCTCGCCGTCTGGCTCGTTCCCTGCGTTGGTCTGCAGAGCCACATTAAGCACACTGGTGAGCAAAGCACTGAGCAATTCTGGGGCTGCTGCATGACCCTGTATCAGATGAAAAGCAACTTAGCAGGATGTGTAATACGCATCACCTTCTCATATATCTTGCTGATCTCTTCATTGGAGCTGAAAACCAGTTGCACGGAGCCACAGCCAGAAGCCCAGATGACCTTCTGCACGGCCCTTATCACAGAGATGTCTGGGATATACTTAGAAGCCTGGAAGAAGTTCTGTTCAGAGAGAGGAAATCATTTATGGGGGTGGGGAACAACATAGTTTTTAACATCTTAAAAGTAATATAGGAGTTATATATAGGTTCTCAGATACGTTTGGATGATTAAACAGAGAATGCATGAGTAAAAGACTGAGCAATGTCATACTAACTTACTCCCTGAAATAAACAGGTAAGCTATAATACATTTGATGTTGCATGTCATCATTGTTGACAGCCAGCAAACTCTTAGTGGTGGAGGATCCCATATACTCACTTTTGACCACCCCCCCCCCCCCCCCTTAATGCTGAGAGGACACAACCCACCTCATCAGAGATTTGCTGGGCTAACCGGATGGCAACGTTACGCAGCATGCACTCAGAAGATGGGTTGGGAATGTTCTGGAGGGCACTCTGAAGAACCAAAGCCTGGTCGTGGGTAGCCTGGTTTATCTTACGACGGGAAAGAGGCGAAATATAAAAAAAGGAGGCAGAAGGGTCCTGTAATCTGTGTGCTTCAGCCACTTTACAAAAATCTATTGTTTCATTAGTTGCATTTTTTGAGTTGCTGTTGACGACTGCTTCCAGATAGAGGCAGGTTACTAGTAATGGCTACCTTTCACTTCCACACAGCATACAGTATGAATAGTACACAATTTGTCGTACTATTCGGTCGAGAGAGTATCAGATTGGTCAAAAATCAATGTAAATAACCAAGCTACCTAGCAAGCCATAACATGGCAACAAGACAAGCATCCTACTGGTGGTTCCACAGATGCATCAAGCTCGATTTTAATGGCTGCAGAGCTCAATTTAGAGTCCTGCATTGTACTCTGAGTTTGTACAGCTAAATTTGCTGAAACTTTCGAAAGGGCCCAAAATACTGACATTGCTTTTACTGAGATGGTTAGTTAACAACATACGCCTAAATTTAACGAAGCCATTAGTGAATTGTATGTGTACTTGCTATATGACAGAACTTGGAACACCACAGTAGGCCCAGAGCAGGTGTTGGCCAGTAAGCAGCAGCAGCCTCCAAGGTAAGTAAGCATTTTGCGATTTAGCATTAATAAATGTTAAAGCATGGATACAGAATGGTCATTTTAAACAACACTTTCTTCATTTCTGGACATATGAAATAAACCTCACTTACTGGTGACACAGTCCCTTCCCCAGCCGGTTGGCAGGCTTCTGCCACGGCCTTCACGTGGCCAAAGCCAACCGCCGTCAATAAGAGTTTGGCTATTTTCAAGGAGTTTAGGTACGCTCCCCGCCTCGTCTCCATGTCGGCATTTGGGAGGAAGTTGTTCCTGGTCAGCATGCTCAGAACAAGGGGCAGCCCACCGCTTTTTAAGAAGTTGTACTGGAAATCACTGGCATCTTCCCCAAGAGTGCCACTGGCAGGCATGAGCAGCGCATATACAACCTGAAACCGCAGACAAAACACGTCAACTGCTGTTTCAACATGGACAGGTGATCAACTTTACTGCGTATTCTGTTCTAGTTCTTGATCAAACTAACCTCTGTCAGATAGAGCACTTGAGATGGTGAAGGACCAAAGAAGCGCGAATCTAGTGTTGGGCTAAGGCTGTTATCTCCCAGCTTGGCGTGGTCCAGGCAGATGGCCCGCAAGGTCTCCACTGTAGTGGTATCTACACAGTACCCACAATTACATCACAAACTGCCGAAGCACTGGAATACGCAAGTGCATCTTGGTTTGACCGGAGTCTTGCTTCTTCCATTGAGAGGAAATTTCAATTACGATATTACAGTAAACAACATGTGAAGCGCCAGGGCTAGACTACCTGGAGGCATGAGCTTCATGAGGACGCGCGATCCGTCCCGGAGCAGCGGCATGTTCAGGCTGCACCCCAGATCCGCCACTTGCCACAGGAATGAAATGTAGCGCAGATGCAGGGACATAATCTGGAAAGTGTCAGGTTCCATGTGGTTAAAGGATGCCTTTCTTGCAGGATCTCACAGAGCAAACAAACAAAACATGCCTGGCCACATTTACTCCCAGTATGAAATACAAGCATGCTTTTGGTCCAAAAAGAATGTGATGCATAATATATAGTCGCCCATGATCCATTGTAAACTAACCAAAATGTAGAGAGAGAGGCAACAACTTACCACGCCTGGAAGACAACTTTCCACCTCAGGGTTGGGTCCATCACTATAGTGATTCCCATGGTTTCCAGGGGACCCAGTTGAAGAATCAGAAGAGCTGTCAGGACTTGAAGGCATATTTGAACTAATCTGGGTGAGCTTGGCTGTGATCAGCTGAAGAAGGACAAGCAGGAGATTTTAGTTATATAATAGCGATTAAAGGGGTGGATTTGCAGCCCAATGGCTAAAACCACTAAACAGATATACTCTCCATCTGAATGATAGAACATCGAATCTGACAACAGGCGGCACTAACATACTACAGAACCTACCGTTTTGTCCTTGAGGTTGAGCTGTCCAATTAACTTCTTGTCATCAGCAGGATCCACCATTTCTCCTCCGATGAAGAGTTCAATTTTTGTGTGAGCGCTGTTGGCCTTTATCCGGGTCAAGATGCAGCGCCGCACAGAACCAATCGTGTCGTTTGTGTGAGACCAGATATCTAGGTCATCCACCTGCCGGCCTTGGTTGGGGAACCGCACGATGAGCGTGATGTGCTTCCCTCGAAATGCCCTGAGGGTCAGCAAAAAAGACAAAATTCAATCCCAGCCACGCGGAACTATACCAGGTTTGTGACATTATTCACAGACAGGGTGCATTTTGGGACTGTTCTCTGCATACCTTGACATTGGCAGTATGCTCCTCTCTTCATGGTAGTCACTGTCACACTCATTGATGTACTCTCTCAGGACTGTTAACACTCTCACCATGCGGATGGCCTCTTGCCTGGCACAATTAATGCTGTCTTTGTCCCCATCCAGAACACACAGGGTGTCATAGGAGGCTTTCAACCGGTCGAAACAAGACTGGATGAAGTCTTCATGAATCTCAACCTACAAACAGTACAGACGGGAGGAGTTTATTCCTATGAAGGTATGATCATTTCAACCGGAAATTGTAATTTTTCTCTAACAAAGAGCAAGAACGTGGAGGAAAACAGAAAATGGCCATTTACCTGGTTGACTTGCAGTTTTGGCCCAAGGTTTGTATAAATCTCTTTCAGTAAGTCTATTGCTCTACTGGCAATGTCATCACTTCCTTGTATCACCACCTGTCCAAAGTGGGGGATAAAAATGACTGCAGAAATATCCAGCATAAAAGTCCATACTGTCTTACCAAATTACGTGAGCTGTTCCTTTCTTCACCACCACTTCAGTGCATATCACACTGAAATATACCAAACCATAATATACCAGAACAGTATTATATGGTTTGCCCCATTACAGTGCATATCGCATTGAAGTATACCAGATCATAGTATACCAAAACAGTATTATCTGATGTGCTCTACCAACTGAATTTAATAAACAAAGATACACAAAGTTCACGAGTGGGGGGACGATGGAGCGGGAGTGATGCGGGCGCTGCATCGGTCTGTCATGGTGAAGAAAGAACGAGATCGCGAGTGCAAGCGGCCGAAATGAGTTTTCTCCGCAGGGTGGCTGGGCTCTCCCTTAGAGATAGGGTGAGGAGCTCGGTCATTCGGGAGAGACTCAGAGTAGAGCCGCTGCTCCTCCGCATCGAGAGGAGCCAGATGAGGTGGCTCGGGCATCTGCTTAGGATGCCTCCTGGATGCCTCCCTGGTGAGGTGTTCCGGGCATGTCCCACTGGGAGGAGGCCCCGGGGAAGACCCAGGACACGCTGGAGGGACTATGTCTCTCGGCTGGCCTGGGAACGCCTCGGGGTTCCCCCAGAGGAGCTGGATGAAGTGGCCGGGGAGAGGGAAGTCTGGGTTTCCCTGCTGAGACTGCTGCCCCCGCGACCCGACCTCGGATAAGCGGGAGATAATGGATGGATGGATGGACCAACTTCTGGGCATCACAAAACACATCTCATTAATATTTTAGCCGTGCTACTAATCTGCTTAACAAATTGTGGGCGTAAACAGACATCCACATAGCACCGAAAAGCTGGAGTCTGGCCAGATGTTTCGCCCGTGATCTGAAGCCCTGGTGATCCTTGTGCATATGCGTGATATAATATCGCTGTGATATCGCCCAGCCCTAACTACAGGGTACACTCACAGTCAAACTTCACTGGCCATCTAAAAATACCCATAAAACGTGGGAAGAAGATGAAAACTGCCACTCTGCCAAAGCATAAGCGGGGAGACAAGCTCCCCAACCTGGAAATGGGAGGGAGCAGCGCTACCTACTGAGCCACTGTGCTGAAGGAAAAAAAACTAATTAAAAATCAATGCAACACTTATGCAGAAACATACTCAGACTCTGGGGAGGATGGATTGTTGTCTACAGGGCAGATGTTGTGTACTCAGATACAGCAAGACGGTAATTAAAATGACCCCTTTCAAATGACAGAGACCATCACACTACAGTCTTTGATCCAGTCACAATATGTACATTTACCTATTAGGTGAATTCCACACAAAGTAAGGTGAAAATTCACAAAATATTTCCAGTACATGAACCAGTTGGTATAACACCAAATTGAACCAGAATGTTCCATTAACATTCATAGCTCTCTCTCTCTTTCACATATATATAGCTACTTGAAGTGTAAAAGCAAGGAACTTGGAGATTAGTGGTTGTGTTTTTTGTTTTACATAAAATCTGACAAAATGTGTAAATATTTGAACTTTCCATTTGTCATCTTATTAATTGTTTTTCATCTGTTCTTACAGTGCATCGTCTCCTCTCTTCCAGAAACAACTAAAGCAGAAGAGTACAGTCACTTACCCTCCACAGGTAATCCAGCCCGATCAGTTCCAGGTCGTCCATCATGTAGGCTCTCCGCTTGGCCACCAGCTTCCCTTCCCTGCAATTCACCGCCTTGAAAAAGCGCTCGAAACACTTCATGCCGTTTTCCGTCAGAAGCGACGGGTCCAGTTGTAGAACGTTGTTTTCGAAAAAGTCTTTGTTAATGTCCGGGTCCAGATCCGGCTCGTCCCCCATCAGCTTGGAGTACCATTTGAAGCAGGCCTCGCGGTCGCACAGGAACACCGCGTTCTCTGCCAGGCATTTCCAGATCTGCTTGGCTTGAGGTGCACACAGCCACAACTGCCCATCCTTCAGCAGAAACCTGACGAACAAAAGCAACACAGACAATCAGAATTCAACTAATGGTAATAAACGAGTTATTCACACACATGTACTGGATAAACTCAAGATGCATGACAAGACGCAAAATATCTTCCCAGTAAGCCCTTCTTGTGTGTGCAGCTATATACAACAAGGAAGTAAGTGTTATGAGCAAACACAAATACAAGGCGAGACCTGTTACTGAACTGTGTATAGATGTAGTTTATTGTACGTTTGGCTGGAGCTCTAATTTCATTTTGTGATTAAAAACCACCACCACTATCATAAACAGAGTTGGGTAATTCAGGTCCAGAGAGTAAAAGTCTAGACCGGGAATTTGTTTCAACCAACCAGTTGAGTACTCTGACTGTGACTCTTTATGCTCAACTGGTTGGTTGAAACAAAATTTTGGTCTGGACTTTGACTCTCTGGATCAGAGAGTAAAAGTAAGATAAGTAACAGATCATAAGTAGCATTGGCTTGTAGCAAACACTGCAAGATATTGGTGTGTTCATCTAGGCAATAAGGACAGAACTCATTCCAGACCAACAGGAGAAACGTTAATTAGGCTACACAACACAGCTGGGCCTCCTGTGCACCCCCCCCCCCAATCTCCAAAGAAAATTTAAGGGAACACAATAATAGTGGCTTCCACCTTCAGAAAGGTGCCCTAACTCTGAATAGTTGTCACCACATTTCTAATGAACAATTCAAAACCTTAAATACAAATATTTTCCAAGTAGTCAAGAGTCCAACAGTCTGTTACACATGAAGATCAGCCAAAGTAAAAAAAAAAAAAAAAAAGATCAGTGTGTTTGCAGTGCAGATGTAGAAAAGGCTTGAATCACCTCAAGAAGTTGAGTCTTTCCTGGACCTCCTGCACATGGCTGTAGCGGCTGCATGAGCGCACTGTCTGCGGGTCGTAGTCCAAGTGCTCTGTGACACGCGTACACAGAGAATTTATTAAAACCAGGACGTTTATGAGCGCTCTCATCGGTGACGAGTAATACAGAGCTGTACTCAATCCCGAAGAGTCGCACAGTTCAAGCGTAATGATCACCCAGAGAGCTGCAGTGTGTGAGCGTGCGGTGACCCACCATGTTCTTCAGCTTTCGCAAACTGCCTCATGCCTTCCATGTAGGCCGACAGGTTTTCAGCCACCAGGGTGACCAGCGCGTGGTTGTTCTGCAGCTGGTTAATCAGGTCATGCCGATAAAATGCATGGGGACTCCTCTGTGTCTGACTGCAAGAGACAGACAGACGGTGGGAGTCAAGCTCCTCATTCTATGCCTCTCTGTTTAAAGGCAACAGCAAATAAGGCAATTACTTCTCATTCTCTGAAGACAGTGACTGAACATCAGCCTGAGAACATTAAAACTGAAACCTAAATAGAAAATATGAGCAAAGTTTGAGGCTAAAGATTGTATATGTATATGCTGTTGGTGTTTGGACGATCGATCTGCTTCCTGTGTTCCCGGAGGGGGAATAAAGTGGCAGAGAACACACATTGTGTCAAATAAATGACCCGTATAGAACACACAAAGGGGCAAATGAAAGAAAGGGTTCGCCATGTTGGGCAAGAAAAACTAAACAAAACAAAAAAAGAGTGGCCCTAAGTGGTTAAGTGTGTGTGAGAAGACGGTGAGGGAAGTGCAAACAAAACAGGCTTTAAGAATCACCCATTACAAATTATGGATCGGACATTCAATTTCAAAGCACAGCTCAATCAGATTTAGACAATTTCAGAGGTGACAATAAACCTCAAAATTAACTGTCAACTTACCCCACTAAGTTCTTTTCTATGTTAAAAGGTATTTTCTTTCTGAAAAAAAACAGGTAGGTATGCTACATTTTTCTACAGTTACTTTATTATAACTTCATATTATATAAATGTATATACCGTATACATTGTGACTATCTGAGGAAATATTTTTGGAACATTAAAAAAGCTAAAAGCTAACTGGACAGTTGTTTCAATAAAAAGCTAAAACGGGAGCGCACCAAATTCCGTCTACCATAACCTGAGAAAGTATGTTCCACTTAAAAAGTAGGTTAATGTACATCATGGAAAACTTAGAGAACGAGCACAACCCAACTTCAAGAGCAGGCTTGGCTTTATACAGTGTTACACAACAGTCAGGCCATTTCAGTATCACTACACTTCACCATCATGTTTGGTACAGAACAAGAACAAGAATATGGTAGAGAACGTTTGCTTACCTTAGGTTCTGCGGAGCCTCCCCAAATAAGCTGCAGATTTCCCGGATTTGCTTCAGTGCAGGAATCACCCATTTGTGGTTGGTTCTCAGCTCTTCAATGAAGCGATCTATCCACTGGATTTTCTGTGTGTCCCTGTCCTGCAGTTAAAAAAAAATCCCATATTGTCACAGAGCACATGCTATAGAGAAATGATAAAAGAGTTAAGCATAATCAGGTGCAACCTGGAGTTATAAAAGAAAAATAAAACTAAAATTAGAAGAAAACATTTTACTCAAAAACAAAATACAAAACACAAAAATAAAAATAAAAAACACAAACAAATGAAAACAAATATTGCTTCCAGAATTAACTGGAACAATAAAAACGAACATCAAATACTTGGCTACCATTTTTAAATACTGTTTGGCTAAAGTAATCAATTATCTTTAATTACCATTAATAAAACCTGGATGTTTTGGCCATTTTGAGGAAGTTAGTACACTGTGTATTCATACAGAAAACCCCCCTATTTCAGTCTATCCCTAGAAAGAAAATGACCAAAAATTTAACTGAAACTAAAACTATAAAAAATAAATTGCCAATATCTCTAAAATAAAAACTAAAAAATGGGCAGAACACACTGAAAACTAAAACGGATTTCAAATGAAAATGTAAAATAATATACATTAAAAAAAGAAACAAAAAACTATACTACAATACTATACTATCCTAAACTATGCTATAGTACACTACAATTCTGTAGCAAGTTCAGTATGTAATATTTTAAATGAATGTAAATATAAAACTAGGTGAAGTGTTAGCAGGACATACTTGTGAGCAGCTGTAGTCCAGGATCTTGATGTGGGCACTCAGTGCCTGGTCCATGATGTCCACAGGGACATCGTCGCTGTGGGCCAGGTTCCACAGTAAGTTTAACACCTTGTGGGCCATCACTCCATCCTTATCATCCTCAGCAAGGCGACGTATCAGCTCCAGCAACTTCTCTCGCTGCTTTTTGCTGGCATTTGTCCAACTTGCCTAACATGAAAAGGACCGACCAAGGAAAAAAAAAAAATCATTTATTAAGATGAAAAACAAACTGTGAATTAATCGATTTTGGAATTAAGAATTAATCTTTACCTTGAAACAATCAAAGAGATGATCAAGCTGCTCGGGAGAAAAATCCCAGGCCAGCTTTGCCAGGAGATCATGCATATTCTTGACAATAGCTTCATGCTTTCCAGCCTAAATGAAGAGGAAGACACGACTAGCAATAAGCTTTCTACAACAGACAGCAACACTTGGGTTTACAAGGCAGTTCAGGCTAACATTCTAAGATATACTCTAGAAGTCAGAATGCTGTACTATATTAACACTAATGAAAAAAAATGGACTTGCTGATGACTAAGATGTCTAAAACAGGCCAATAACTGGTTTTATACCCCATTAGAACTTGTATCCTGACCCTGAGACATAATAAAGGCAATGGAAAAGGTCATGAAGATTCCATGTTGCACCTGAGCTGCCCAGATGTTGTCCAGGTCTTGGAGTGTCAAAGCCTTCTCCTTAATGACAAAGCGGAGGATCTTCTCCAGTTTCTCCACATACTGTGGCTGGTGGAGGCTGTCTCTGAGCACAATGGACAGGATGTGGTTCTGCTGGATCCATTCCTACGAGAGAAGAACCACCAGCCCTCAAACCCTCGGCAAAAGAAGGTGGATGCTGCTCGGGGTAGGAAAGACATGCACTACCATCACAGAAACAATATCTGATATACTAGAACCAAGCCAGAGATCGGAAGCCTAACAGACGTACTGCCATGCGTTCAGCCGTGAGCCACTCCTCTTCTTCAGGACTGCCGTGCCGGTGGGTGTAATAGGAGACACTCGATATCACCTTGTTGACTTCATTTAGTGCATTCATTTTGCCATTGAAGGAAGAAATTTGTAATAACCTGTGTTGTGAAAAAAAAAATTTAAAAATATATATATATATTCACATGGGTCATCTGTAACAATCACAGATTACTAGAAAAGTTATTTTTTTGAAGGTCTCACCTAAGAATCATTTTTAACCTAAAAATCTCTAAGTTTTTTACGGTCTCCTCTTGCCCCGGTACCCGTGAAGCGAGGTTCTTCAACGACTTGATTATCATTGACAATGCATCATTTTTGGCTTCATTCTTGGCTTCCTTTTTCAACTCCTCATCAGTGAGGTTTTCTAGAAACTGTGGAACCATTTCTATAACTGGAAGAAAGTACTTCTTCAGCGTGTGCAACGTAAGAAACTCATAACACTGCCCGAAAGGCCTGTCAAAATAAACAAACAGGAAAAGCTGGCTGAGTACTGGATTCAAGAAATGATGCAACCCAAAGGTTTGAATGAAGTCTGGCCTGAGGCACACTCTCCCGTGGATGAACTTACTTAATAAGCGCTGCGATGACCTGAACATTCAAGGCTTGGCCGCTCATAAAGCGATCATGCAGTGTTTGAAACCCGTTTAACGTGCCAAATTTGTTTATTAAATCCACCAGCCAGCCCTGTGATAGGAAAGAAAGACCATCTGTGGTGAACAAAGGCACAACTGCATCATGGTTTCAGATCACTCAACATCAGGGCAAATAAGTGACATTGGAAAAAACAGAAAGCTCACATTGAAGTTTATACCAACAAGACCTTTCCTTGGTTTAAGTATAGAATGTACACTCACAACTTTTATTCCCAGTTCTTTGAAATCTACATCAGGTTTCATAGCTGAAGAACTGGTTGAGCCCAGGAACCCACTGAATGGACACCATGGAGAAAAATACCTTGGGAGAACGTGGGTCTGGAGGACGGGCGCAGAGCTCATCCTCAGGCAGCTGCACCCCTGCTGGCACGGTCTCAGACGGTCGTGTGCCATTGTAGATGTGGAACTTGCAGTGGGGGTTCAATGCCATGGCCAGCAGCTCAAGCAGTGGGAACCAGTCCTGAGAGAGCTTGGCCACACAAAGCTCCACCAGGCGGTGAGTGTTGTTTATAATACACCTCTGTCAATCAAGAGGAACCGAACAAGTCAACCACCAAACAGTCTACTTCTCTATACAACTTGGCAAGTGATTGGTAAACCCTAACCATTCTGTGTTGCATTTAAACTTCAAAAAACAAAACTGCTTTATTTATAAAAAAATATATATACACTGACAAAATGTGTACACTGTACTCACGTGAATCTCAAATTTCCAGCCGCTCACTGCCTCGTCGGTGAGAATTTTCGTGAAGGAAATTGTCAAGCCATCCCGAAAAAACCTCTGACATGCTTCACACTTGACATCCAGTCCTTGAAAGTAGAACAAAGTCAAGCCCATCAATGCCAAGGTACACAGCACACAAACCAATCACTTGAGAAGCATTCACTCAATGCTAAAACAAATCATTACCAAAATGCTCGAATCACCTTGTTTAAATCTTTAATTATAGAGAGAGCAACGAGGCTCACAGATTGCTCTACGCACTCTTGCCCTGGACCAATTGTACTACTTAATGTTCAGTGTGTAAGTTATTTAACACCGTGGCAGAACTACAGTTCCAGGAATAAATGAAGCAGATGCAGACAGATTGCAGCAATCCATGATTATAGTGTGAATGTGTCATCGAAGTTATTCTTTTTAATAAGAGAAGAATGTAGTTCATCAGGGAAATGAAGAAACATTTCACTGGCTTTGAGGAATGGAAAACCTACCTTTTTTACAGAGATCTATAGCAGCCTCAAGAAGAACCTCCAACTCGCCCTTTGGTAAAACTGGAACCACCCAGCGAGGCCTACAAGCCAAAAGAACGTGCCAATGAACACAAATACGCACATGGTGCAGATGCAAACTGTACAGAGTGGAACGGTGGTGGGTCGCAACGCACCGGTTGATCATGTCATCTAGCTTGGCCAGGTCCGTGTGGGGGAAGGCAGGTTCCTCCTCTTCCGCCTGCGGGGGCGAGTCCCCCTGGCCCTGCTCATCTGGAGGGCTCATGGGGGAGTTCTCATTCGAGGAGCTGGGGGACGATGTCTAAAACAGATGCACAAGCGTCGCTCAGACTAAATCAGAATCCTGCATCGTACAAGAAGCTTCAGCCATTGCCTGAATTCAGGCTATGTTTAGGATTAGCATTGTTATCATATGAGGGGAAATATGTGCACGATGTGCAGGACAGCAATTTTGATAATCGGTTCCTCCAAGAAGCTATGGGAGCTTGTCATGGTCTTCCAGATTGTGCAGTCATGCCTGTATTATCTTCTGCAAGCATATCTCAAGCCTCAAGAACATACAATGCTGTTCATATTAATCCTCAGCTCAGAACCAGGGGAGGGGTTTGTTTGAGGACTTGTGTCAGTTGTCGCTGACGTGTAACGCAGACGTAGGGGCAAATTGAGCAGAAGCAGAGAGGGGAAGAGAAGCGGAGGCATGTAGAGACATACCGCCCCCCCCCCCACACCATTTTGGCTTTAGTCAGCTTGTGTCTCACGTTGGACCATAATGCATCTCGCTTTTGCTTATTCCTCTATCTCATCGTGAGTTGGGTGTGACAGCACGCATGCAGCGTTTTCCACAGAGGCAGAGCAGTAAAGGACAGGTCTTTTGTTAAGTCATAAATCAAAAAAGACAATTTTCCACAACCGCGTCCAACCCATGAAACTTCTGTATATATGCGATTACCTCAGCCTTCAGTTCTGTGGGGGAATCACTTGTATTAGACCTTATCACTTACATATTTTTATAATATGTAACACGTTATTTTCTTTCCAGACCCTAATTGATGGCTGGATTCAAGAAATACTTTGGAAACTATATTACGGAATAACTATATTATTGATATGCAGTTTTACGATCCGCTTGTATGAATTTCCAGACCTACCAGTCATCATTTGCTGTATGTATTTCACAAAAATTGTTCTGCTAAAATCGTTTACATTTGCCACACAAACATTAACAAAGGTGATGCAAAAAGATCCAGCTTATTTTGTCAAGTGTATAGGCACTTTCCCACTGAAGTTGAGGAACCTGATTCCTGGTTCCAAGTTCTCGGGCTGTCCCAACTGAGAAATTTTGTAGCTCCAGGCCACTTTCGTGTGTTGCTTTCACACTGCACAGCAGGAACTGTGATACTCATTAATGCATTAAATGTAGTTGAGGTTCAAAAATATTTCCATCCGTTCAATTTGTACTCTGCTTCTTATATTGCTTTCCCACGCAATTCTGTGTAACTTACAAGTTAGTGGCAGTGCTTGTGATCAACCAAGTATCTATAAACCCCACCCCAACAGTCTGTGGTCAAACAAAAAGTACCTAGTCTGGAGCAGGGACTAAAAAAAGATTGCGGAACAACTACCTCTGAGGAACTACAATTGGACCGAGGTCCTGTGGTAGGAACATAACAGAAGTTCCTGGTTCCCAAAAAGTCCTGCTTTGAGAAAAAGGGTCCTGTGAGAAAGCACTTAATGCAGTGCAGATTCAGAGGGGTCAATGAAGCTCCTTTGTTTTGTCTTTTTTTTTTTTTTTTAAAGAACTGCACACAGTCTAGATTCTGGAAAGTTCCAGGATGCTTGAATAACTGTAGACAAACAAAATTCAAATATCTGGCCAAGCCGCTCCAATACCTAGCTATGGTTCCCCAAAGTAGCAACTGACCTAGACCTTAGAAAAGGTAACTGTCACTCCCCCCCCCCGAAAAAAACAATCTGTCTTAACAGGGTCTTGCAATAAAATGTAGCAATTCATTAAAGTTATAAGTAGTACATTGACTTCAGCAAAACTTAATTTTAAAAAGCATCTTTAAATAGTCTTGGAACCATTCTGAGAGGGAAGATGATATGGCAATTCCCATCTCACCATCTTATGCCACATCCAGTGGAAACATTTATTCCACTTCTTTAACAAGAATACTACACTGGAGATGGAGCAGGGTACTCACCTGGTTCTGGGGTAGTGGGGGCTGAGACTGGCCATCCGGAGCTTGGCCCTGGCTGTCATTGCCCCCCACGGGAGAGCCGCGGGTGGTGGCAGTCATGCTCGACACAGGGCAGACCTTTGCAATTTTGTCCGCTTATGTCGTTATGACGAGGGAGGAAATCAACACCTCGTCAACCACGAGAGAGAACCAGCACGCGTCTGTGTGTGAGAGCACCACCTGGAGCACAAGATGTTTTGCAGAGACCATTGCATAACCTGAAAGATAAAGCAGGACAAGAGGATTCCTTCTCAATCTGTAATGCCAGCAAATTCCATAGAACACATAAGATATTACATACAACAATGGACATATCTATCTCAGTCCTTTTAAGCACTGAATCTGAATTTTACAAAGCATTGTTTGAGTTTCTTACATTTCCACACTCAATTCTTAGAAACAAATATTTAAAAGTGTACATTACAACCTTTACAACGCTGCTCAAAAAGCTACATAGTAGATTGAATATCTGCAGTGTGGTTCTGACTAGTTTGCTGTTGAATCTGTATTCCAGGTTTCCTATTCCAGCAGCTGAGTGAATTACACCCAACTATAAAAGGAATGTAAACCACAGGGTAATATTTAAGGATACTGCATACGCTGGAAAAACATTTCATCCACGAAAACACAAAACATTGTTCTGAAAACGTACATTTTCACAGCCAGGTAACGTCCGTTTGTTATTATTAATAGAGACATTGGATTCTCCACAAAAACATCCCCCTTACATAGCTGGCTAAGATCAACAATGTGGCAGACCATACCGAAACGAAACAGCCTAAAACAAGAAGCCTGACTGGTTTTACAAGTCATATAGAAGCAGCAGAGGTTTTACAGGACCAAAACAGTTTGCTAAGGTGGAAGTACACTAGGTTAGCTCTCGGAGAATAAGCTGTCCGTTTAGCATTTTGGACTATAAAATGAATCAAACTAAGGAATATTATCACATTAATAGTACCAATCCGTGGTGTAAAACAAAATTCCACAAATCTGATGCATTTCACTGCCAGCACCATTAGTAGATGAATTAATGGTCTATAATGTTTCCCCCTTGATTCATTATATCTAGTGTACAACAAAAGGAATTGCTCTGGTACCACTGGAAAAGATTGTACATCCCCCTTGGACTCCAGTGCCTACACAATTATTCACAGAACTTTAGCATAATTTAAAATGTGATGCATTTCCCACAGCAAACTACTGCTACTGAAAAAATATACCGGAAAACATTACACAACTATAGCAGTAGCACACCTGTGGAATGCTATCACATGGTGTGACCTCAACAAGATTGCTGTGATAAATGATGAATTTGATTCACAGTGTGACGGGAAATAAAAACATTCTCAACAGAACCATTGTTTCTTAACCTTGAAATATTCAATGTGTTTAATTAAAAGTGAAATAATGCAAATCCAAAGCTGAATGCTGGGCATCAGAACATTCCCATGATTCACAAGCAGTCCTGAAGCAAAGTACAACCAACAGTCCTTGGTTTCAATCAAAGACAGCATATTTTAGGTCTTAGCTTCTGTGCTAATGACCTTCCACTGAATGGACTTAGCTGACCCAGACATACAGTTTAACATGTATGTACTGCCCGAGATCCGTGCATTCAGTCAATTCTCAATGGGAAAATCTGACAGTGGAAAAAGATTCAGCCAAGAATAGAGATCAAAGCTTATAAAATATGCAACATGTGCCATCAATGGACAGGGCCATCAAATTAAAATAACCTTATATAACTAATGAATTAAACAACAATTAATTTCCCTAAGTTATTGCCAGCTGCTGTAAGAAAGTAACTTTGTACTGGTAATTTCACTCTTTACTTAAAACGTGCATTCTTGAGGTTTTCTACTAAATCTCTTCAACTTACTACTAGAGATAATAGCGCACAATTCCAAAATTATCAGGAAGGACACAATTCCGAACGAGAAAGCACAAATGAAAATGGCAGAGCAAATATATTACTCTTAAGATAATGGCATCTCCTTATTAGGTAGACATTATATAATATACCAGACAATGACTGTTTGTAATACAAGAGATAACTTTAAATGATTGAAGTGAAGAAACATGCGTGTGACATGACACCTACAAGAGAGCCATGGTCCAACTTGGTTCTTACTTCATGAATATTCAAAAAAAAATATATTTCCCATAGTACCTTGTTATAACAAACAACATGCATAATGATTAAATTATTCTACATTACTAAATATTCCTGCCAGATTATTTCCCAGAAAAACCTTAAATAACAACACATTAATTAAAATATATCACCTGGAATAGTAAGACACAAGGTTGACAGCAATGTCATGTGTTGCATTTAATCCCACAGATATAAGACTTAAAGACCCCAAGACTGCTTCCAGTAGTGTTTCAGCAGAGACTTCTAGAAGACAAACAGCAGTGTGTCCAGCTGGCTAGCTGCAACAAGACAGTGATCAGAGTAGCACATTGTACCATGCAGCACCATGGTAAAGAAGAGACCGGGCCTTTCTTCACTAAATTAATCACTGTTACTGTTAAGGATCCAGCTGCAATTATATATGTCACTTCCAGTATATACAAATACAGACTCAAAAAACATGGAACAGGACCTATCAATTTACAGTATAATAAATATGTAACATAGGGAAAAACTGAATGAAGGAAAAAAAACATATAGCCCTTTTGTGAAAACCATTAGTACATATTAATCATATGTACTAATTGCATTATGAATACAAATTTAACTTCCAACAGGACTATCTTAATGAATTTAAAATGACAAAATTTCACTTTTAAAATTGTTACTATAGCTATATAAATCAGCAAACTGACAAGCTGGTCCTTACCCTGACTAAATAATTTATTATGAAGGTGTGAAACTCACTAATCAGTGTTTGACATGCCACACTTGTAATCAAAGCAAACGGTCACGTCATAAATAGGATGCATACGGCATACCAACTACCCTAATGTAAATAACGGACACATCAGCAGAACAATCAATAAAACAAATCTTTTCGTCAATAAAACCCAGCCTAGTACCGAACAGAAAAAATACATATAGAAAAGAAATTTGGGTATTAACATTAAGAGGAATTAACAGTGTTTGGTGCTTCCTTTTAATGTGTACATCTCCGTACATATTGTGCCTGAGACAGTGGAACAGCGGGTAGCTGCAGTCGGCCTGATACATTACATATTGGCATAGAGCGATATACAGGAAGCACAAGGCATTTATACTAAGTGAAACCCTCATTTTAAATGGGTCAGCACGGATATGCGCCTCATGTCCGACATGCCACCAACCGAAACAGCATCAGTACAACACCGATCACAGGCGGCTGACAGCTTCGCCCCTGAGAAACAGTAAAATTGCCGTAAAAAACAGTGAGCCCGTTCACGTCCGGTGTAAAACAAAGGCATTATTATGGTGCCCCGATCCGCCATCATTACCGGTTACTTTAACATGGTCATACCATTCGTCCATAGTTAGTCAACGCAGATCGATACACAACAGTCCAACATTGGAAGGGGGCGGCTGTGGCGGCTTAACTTAGTTCACATGCACCTAGAAAGGTGAAATGAAAAAGACTTTTGCGGAAAGGCTGCTTACATAAGGCCACTGACGGATTGTGCGTGGACTTGTTTACTAAAGACACGGAAAAAGTAACCAGAAAAGGGATTTTTTTTTTTTTGAAAATGTCACAGATCCGCCCCTCGACTGGACGCGATTCCTTTCCTGACATCAGGACGGAAATAACATCGAACACACCATTTTATTTTTTTGGCAATGCACCGTTATCTAGGTCGTAGATTTAACTACACAAACCATTCAACGGAATAAGTTCTTAGAATAAACGTCAGTCACTCAATGAGTAAAAAAAAAGAAAGAAAAAAACAAGAGTGCTGCTGTAATTTAGCTAGTCAGCTAAATCAAAATACATTAAGGGCAGCACTTGGAATATATATGTATATATAGACAATTAGCAAGTAATGTACCAAGTGAGCTCTTTAAATGTCACAATCCTACGTTGCCGATGAGGCACCTTTGACATGTTTCTGAACAGACAGACAGACAGAACTTCAAAATAAAATAATCACGGCCTAGCTCGTCTGCAAGCGTAGTCCTTGGGGCCTAGGCTAGCTAGTTAGCTAGCTGCTTTCCCAGTGCCACTCCACCTCAGTAATGGCGTTTCGCTTCGAAAACAACACTTAGCTTAGCCCGCGCTAGCATTAGCATCAACGCTAGCCTTAGCGTTAGCCAACTCGCCGGGCACAACAAAATACAGCGCCAGGGCGGACATTTAGGGTGCCCCACTGGGAGAATCGGAGCCTCTGGTGAATGTCACCGCATGTCCCGACGTCGGCTGGCCGCGAAGCCCCTTTAGGTCGCCTCGCCCTGTCATTTAGACCCCTTTTATGAGAGGATAGGACAGATGGGTAGCCGTCAGCCATTTTCCTCCTTACAGTAAAATACGGCAACAGCCGGCTTCTCCACAAACATTCAGGGAAGCCTTTCAGCCACTGTCACCCAGCACCTTGTGACAGTCTGAGCCCCGCAAGCCTCCGCACATAAACCTTCACTTATGTGCAATAACTATGTAATTAAACGAAATATGCACATACCAAAGGACTATAGCTAGCTGAGGTGCTTAGCCGGGGAGATAGCCGCTCACCAGGAATTGACTTCCTCTCTGTTCACTAATTATTCCAGAAATTCTTCCATGTATCTCATACAAAGCTTTCTTGCATGTGACCAGTCTATTAAAACGATCTTCTTCCCCGTTTTTTGTCTGCTCTTAGGTGTTTTTCCTGCGTCACCAGCTACAGCAGCAGCCCCCTCCCCTCAGTCTCTCTGCTCCGCTCGCTTGTCAGTTGAGTCCCAACCAGTCACTCACTAATACTTCGCTTCAACATGGCGGCATCGCAGCTGCTGGCTGAAACGTCGCTTTAATAACAACCGACACCGCATGTAGATTTTCCGATCCTTCTTTAGCCGCTGGAAAGAAAAAAATCATGAGTCTCCTGAAAATGCGTGAATTGAACTTGCCCGGAGTGTTAGGGAATTGCACAGAACATCTGCAGTCCCAGCCCAGTACGTTGTCACAGTGCAGCCTTCTCTCACTCCTCTGTGCTGTTACACCAGCAATCAGAGAGGCGCTGTTACGTCTCCGTAAACCTTTTTTTTTTTTCCTGTCACGGGTCCGCAGGGCTAGCAGATAGACATTTCGGCTTTAGGGGCCCAGGCACGTTGTTCTTCTGCCTGGATCTCATGCCTGCGAGTTGCATCTCATGAATCTGCCACGACCTTGTCAAAGTAACAAACTTTGACAGCGATGCCACGTTTGCGTAACATTTGTTATGTATTTAATTAAAATATATTATTCTCCGTTCTGGACTAGAATTATTGCTAGTTACTTTAGAATATTATTGCTACACCATAAATAGCTGAATAAGATTATATCCATGTACTTAGTCAAAACATATGAAAATTTCTTGAACAGAAAAGCTTAGTTTAACACATTGTAACAAACTGCAATTACCTCCTGATTCTTTGGATTCTCTAAACACTTAATACTGTAATGACCTTCCCTCTAACATACTGTGAAACGTGCAAAACTCATTCAACTGATTTGTATTCCCATCGAGGCAAATGTAATATTTGTTTATCTATTTTATAATAAGACCTACTAGATTGAAAATGCATTGATACATAAGGGGTATAATAAAATATCCTGCTACAAATTCGGGGCAATATTGTGGTTCATGGGGTAGCACTACAGACAGATGTGGGCTTGATTCCTGACATACAAACCTCCTTTTGGGCTAGTTTACCAAAACAACATCAGGCTATTTCTTTTGTCCTGTCCATTAACATGATGCAAATTCACTTCTCTATTTGTGTCAACATGTTGAAATGCTGAGGTATTTTAAAGGTGTGAGATGTATACTACTGTCATGAAGATTTAATAGTAGTCCAACCAGTTTCATAAGCCTATTTATTCTGTGTATTTAACTGGATCTGTCACATAAATCATCTCCTAACTGCTTAATTCGGTCAGGGTTATGGGTGTGAACCTATCCCAGGTAGCATAAGGCACAAGACTAAGGGACTCTTATGTATGTTGCATACACCTTCGTCCAATGTGACATTTAAGACTGTAATGTCTGAGGTCACAGACCAATGTCTTCCAGCATCCCTGGAACAGCTGAGATTATGAGTCTTGCTCATGGGCCAAAAGATGATACCATTACTCTGCTGATCATAGGATTTGAACCCATGACCTTCTGAACACAGATACAAATCTCAAACCCATTGAGTCCTGTACACCTTCGATGGGATTTCAGTCCATCACACAGCACACACACACACCCAAACACAGTCTCATATGCTACAGCCAATTTAGAGATGCAAGTTAACCTAATTGCAGGAGGAAACCAGAGTACCTGTAGGAAATCTATGCCACACAGGGAGAATTCCATACAGTGGAGGTGAGATTCTAACCCCAAACTCTGAAGGAAAAGTCCGACCTACTGAGGCACCTCACTGCCCTCATAGCATCATTCTATAATTTTCCTAAATACATCTATATTTAACAAACCAATATTTTCAAGTAAATGTGGTAGGAAAACTCAAATTCAAAAAGTTAACTTCAAATTCAAAGTAATCAAATTATCATTAATAATTGAAAGACTAAGAATAATCTTCCACTCGGGAATTTCTAGCAATCGAAAATATCAGGGGCTAAATCAAGTTTGACCTGACGACGTCCATGCTGCGACTACAAAGTGAAGGAAATTAATAATGTATGTAATAATCTTCATGCACCGTTCAAAATGTCAGAGAAAACCGGAAAACTAAAATGTGAGATTGCATTTCAATTTCTTAAGGGAGTTACTGCATGTTTTTCTTTCAGAGTAATATCTTTACCAGAAGTCCCAATATCTTATGCTGTATTTCGACTTAATTACTTTACCAGGTGCAATTCTGGCACATACGTATGCTTTTAAAATGTGCAACCTATTGAATTTAACATTGAAACTTAAAGTAACAGTTTTTTTTGTCGGTAGCATCGGTAGACTTATTGTTTATTATATACTCAATATATTTACCTATATTCTACATACCTGCTATAAATATAACAAACTACACACATCTAATAAGACGCACCTTAAAATAGATGTAATTCCACTTACGCACTGCCTGTAAACCTGCAGGAGTGGCTTAACACTGCATATTAACATATACACAAAATTATATTGAAGTCAAACTGTGCAAGCATTTTACCGTTCAGTATAACCTATATTGTCGTAACCGTATTGGTTATTCTTATTCATTTTACAAGAAACGTAAAATATTTCAATATATTTGCGTTGTGCGTAAAAAAAGAAAGGAGTAAACAGAATAAAAGAATTTTCCTCGCTTGATAAAAAGTTGGGAGAGGCGTGGAAAAGCAGCGGAACCTGGAGGATCGTGGCAAGAGCCCGTCGATCCAACATCCGGGTCCTGGGCAGCGTCACGTGCCTGATCACTTCCGGTAGCGTCTCAATGATGGCGCTCGCGTAGTCTTGGCGATTCTTCCTCTATGTAAAGCAGTTTGTTGAATGCCTGCCGGCTTTTCGATGGGGTGAAAACGCCCGTATCGGTCTAAGACTACCGGGACGTAGCGTGAAGTGCGCCGGTTCCCAGGCAAAGCGATTCGGGCACCCTGCAAGCTTCTCGTTTATTCTGCATCACTTTGTAGCGCTGATTGTATAGATAGACCTTTCATTTAACTGGTCCGGTAAAATGGCCCCTGTTCAAATCGGTTCGGATGGGCAGCTGGTCCCGGCTGGGGGACCAAGTTCAATATCCCAGCCCCTGGGGGCACATGGTGTACGGCTCAGTTTACTGATTGAATTCCTTCTGCAGAGAACGTATCACGACATCACCCTCCTGGCTGAGCTGTGAGTGTGATGCTGCTGTCTTCATCTTGTGCTGCATGTACCGATTTTTTATTTTCGAGTTTGGTAGTTTTTATTAAACTAGTGAAGTACAAATGCTTGTACTATCGTACTCAAATTTTGGTGTTACACCGGTAATCATTTGTGTTGAGTTTTTACTTTGAATCGCACGTAAGCGTCAGGTTCCACTTAAGTGATGTGGTTTTGTAGCAGTTCTGCGTGGGATTCCAGGCTGCTAAGTTATTGAATGAATCGTCCGAATACTGTACATTAGGTCTGCAGTGTAGGTGTTCTTTTGAGTTCCTGGTTAAGCATGCATGATACGGTGAATGTGTCAGCCCCATGTGTTCACGTGACTTTCACTGACTGTCACTTTAGCTGAAAGAGATTTTTTTTTTCTACAGTTTTATGATTTTTATGCTCATGTATAGTCTGAAATTTCGAATATATACTCCTGACATTTGCCTCTTTGCCTTAGACTTCCAAGGAAGACTGACATGGAAAGGTAAAACTTCTCTTCCCTTTACTTCCACTCTGTAAATAGTAGCTACAATCTTTTGCCTTTCTTATTTCTTCTCACTGATCACTTTGATAATTGTGCTTAATAAATATTTCTTATTACAGGAAAATTGAAATTGTGCAGTTCGCCAGCCGAACCCGCCAGCTCTTTGTTCGTCTGTTGGCCCTTGTGAAGTGGGCAGGGAATGCTGGAAAGGTTGAAAAATGCGCGGTACGTCAGCTGTGCCTTTGTGGGCTGGACAGTTTTGTTGCTGCACAACAGTAGTGCTCATCAGAGACACCTAAATCCTCCACAACTAAGCATTTTTATAGTGGATTCCCCAAGAGATTAACACACAGTGCAAGTGGTTTACCTAAGACTGTATTTGTGCCATAGGATCATTCTGACTCAGCTTAACAAATGGTCCATGGTCATCCATCTCAGAATTGAACCATTTTGTGGCCTTTTGTTTGCCCCTGGGCCATCTGAAATTTCTCTGGCCTAGCTCATATAGTTTAGGAGTTACACTGGCTTGAAATTCAATGAGATTTTTCCTTTGTTCGCAAAAATGCTTGGTCTGCCATTTTCAGATGCCTGTATCTCTGCAACAGTTACACCTAGGCGCCTGAAAAAATGTAGATATACAAGTGTTTGGCCTAATTCCAAATATGTGTTTCTTTAGCTTGTAGCACATACCTTAAGATAAAGGGATTCTATCTGATCTGTCAAGAGGCCCAGAGTCTCAAGGGGTAGTAAATGTATTGTCACTTTTATTGTTCCATTTGAAAGTCCTAGGTTCCTTTTATAACATATATATATATAAAAAAAAAAAAAATTAGAAAGGTGTTTTCTATTTTAAGGATTTTGAGCTTCACATTGCCAGGAAAAGTCTTTAATCAGAAAACACCTTTCTGGTTTGTGTCTTTGGACAGATGATCTCCAACTTCCTGGACCAGCAGGCCTTCTTGTTTGTGGACACAGCCGACCGACTGGCTTCCCTGGCGCGGGACGCCTTGGTCCACGCTCGTCTGCCGAGCTTCGCCATCCCATTCGCTGTCGATGTTTTGACCACTGGCTCCTATCCACGTCTGCCCACTTGCATCCGGGTGAGCTGCCTGTCAGCAAATGCAATGCTGCAGTTGTCGGTGCATGGCGGCTGACGGGGGGTCGCTGTGTAGATCGAGGCCGAACGCGTCGGGGTTTCTGCCTGGTGATATTGCGCTTTCCCAAGTATATGTAATGGCAGGCAGAACTTCAGTACTGGATCATAGTTTTTTAGTTACCAGATTTTGCGTTATTAAGCTGTTATTTTAGGCTTCTGGGGGTGAAGAGAGATGGAGATGGAAATATGGAACAGAATTAAGCCCTTTTGTCAAAATAATTTCTCACCATTTTGCTCAGTGGTTCAGGTGCAGATACGTAGGACACAACATGATTATTCTCCAGGCTTGCAGATATTTATTCTGTATGTGAACATATTAGCTGATGGTTCCAGGTTACTCTGCAATTCACTTCCTGTGGAGTATAAAGTATTAGAAGAAACAACCCTATCCAGTAAACCGTATCCATGTAGTCTTGTTCAGTTTAAGCTAGTGTTTCTGAACCCTGTCCTCTGGGATGCCTGCAGTCCACATTTTTGCTCCCTCCCAGCTCCCTGCCAGACATTCCATTGATATCTGGGAGGGAGCAAAACATGGTCTGTCTGTGGCCCGAGGACTGGGTTCAGAAACACTGGTTTAAGCTATATATACATGCTTAGTCCTGCTGCATTGCACAGCCTGATGCTATTGGTCGCTCACCGGTTCATGTGTTGAATGTTCACGTCGATTGCACTGGACATCGTGTTGAATGCTTCGTTAACCAGCGTGGGATTTGTGTGCAGGATAAGATCATTCCCCCAGATCCCATCACTAAGCTGGAGAAGCAGGTCACCCTGCACCAGCTGAACCAGATCCTGCGTCACCGTCTGGTCACCACCGACCTGCCCCCGCAGCTGGCCAACCTGACTGTGGGTGAGCTCAGCCTGCCTCCAGCGCCTCCGGCTTCGATAGATTCTGATGGGCTTTTCTGGAGACACCTCAGCTCTCAAGCAACCTCTGCCATGATTCCTCAGTTCTGCTTACATATTATCGTTAACCTTTGATACCGGTGCCATGACTAATGTGCCTTTTGTTTACACTGCTGTTACTTACACTTACCCTGTATTCAGATGATTCTCATCTCGGTTCCCTGACCTTTTAGAGTATATCGATGTTCATTGCAGGTGTTTTGAATTTTGAAATTTTTCATTTGCATAGACATTAACACCCCTAATCTTCCCATTTCAAAGCCAACGGCCGAGTGAAGTTCCGAGTCGAGGGAGAGTTTGAAGCCACGCTAACTGTGATGGGGGATGATCCAGATGTTCCCTGGAGGCTCCTGAAGCTGCAGATTCTTGTTGAGGACAAAGAAACGGGAGGTTAGTCTAACGTACGCTTAAGAACATCACTTCTGACCTTCATAACCTTCTGCAAGTCAGTCCCTCATAGTCTGAAATTCTGCTGAAACTGGATGTATACAAGGCTGCATTAAAGCGTCCCAAACCGTAATCCTACCTAAGAATGATCATATTGCAGTAATACTGATCTTCTCCCCGTTTGCTTGAGACCGCGGTGCCGGGCTGTAGCCCGGTCTCATTACACCCATGGCTTGGCGGCTCTGTTCCAGCAGTATATTTGCTTTCGTTTTAAGGGATGCTTCTGCAGCACACAGGTCTATGATTATATGGCAGTTATTGGCCCAGGGAAATTGTATTGATGTTTTCCAGTTAGATACCCTTTGCCATTTAAAAAAGAAATTCAATTTTAAAAATCATTTTCCCTCTGGGGAAACTAGAAAGTAGTCAACCCATGTTGCCACCTTTAACTCTTGTAATTCTTTCTGTCTGTGTGTGTGTGTAATGAAACACAGACGCATGTGCTGCATAAGTCCTGCGTCCCACCTTCTATTTTGTCTGAGCTAACATTGTCGACCCCCGAATCCAGATGGCCGGGCCTTGGTGCACAGCATGCAGGTGCACTTCATCCACGAGCTGGTGCAGTCTCGCCTCTTCGCTGATGAGAAACCCTTGCAGGACATGTTCAACTGCCTGCGTATCCTTTAGAAACCTGCAAGGCGATGAAGACGTCTTTGTTTTTGAAGAATAAGCCAAAAGGGGCCACCAAAATAACTCCAAATATCAAAGCAATTGGTTTTAACGTTTTTCATGACCTGTGTGCCACTTTGAAACCTTGCATGAATTGGCTGGCCCCCAAACTCCCCCCCCCCCCCCACCATGATGTCAAGGTGATGGTTCAGACCAACTAAACAACTAAAAGATTCACATTTCATAGTGGAAGGTGAAATTAAACGGTGCGGTGCTCTTTAGCTTGTCGCCCTCGTTCTCGTTGTAGTTTGTACCAGCAGGTCAAAACTGAGAATTGGCCCGGGTTAGATTTAGTATGTCGGAATGTTTTATTTCGCTACCAATTAAAGACGCAAACATTCTCAAGTCATTATCTTTAACGGTTTATGCGATATGACTTTGGGGATACCCCCTTGACCCCTGATGAGTGGGGACCTCACTTTCATTTCCAGGGCAGGTTTCTGCCTTTGTGGGGTGGGGAGGGGGGTGGCTGTGTTTCAATCTTTATTTTGGCACCTAGTTTATTGGGTTTTTTGTAGCTTACTAAAATGTGACAATTCTGGATATTTCTGGTAATGATAAGTTGAATCTGAAGCGACTTGGCCCACTTCTTGCTTTCCTCCAGTCAGTGTTCCTACCTGCTGCATGGCTTTGTCCCCGGGTTGGCCGTGAGAATGCCTGTCCTTAACCTGTCCCGTCAGACTCGTTCTGCCTGGCCCTGCAGTTGGAGGTGCTCCACTCGCAGACGCTGACGCTGGTGCGCGAACGCTGGGGTGACCTCGTCCAGGTGGAGCGCTACCTCCCAGCGAGATGTTTGACCCTGGCAGTCTGGAAGTCAGTCCCTTATGACGAAATGCGTGATAAGAGGGCAACAGAGATCGTTATGGTTTTAACAGTTTCATCTGTGGTGTGTTGATCCAGTTGGATGTACGTGGTTGGCTCTGGTATCATGCTCCATATGTGGCTCTTTTGTATACAGTCAGCAGGTCCTGGGCCGAAGGACAGGCTCTGCCTCTGTTCACAAGGTCAACATCAGAGTCGATGAGACGGACAGCTCCAAGCCATTGCAGATATCCCATGAACCTCCACTGCCTTCCTGTGACCGTAAACTAATGGAGAGAGCCTTGCGGGTAACCTATCAATACTTGCGTCTTTTAAGAGTACTATTTTTGGTTGTTCTAGTACAAGTGGTATCTGTCTGTATATTTACACGATTAACAGCTCATGTTTTGGACACATTTTATTGTGATTGTTTGCTTTCCTCTTCCTGCAGATCGACCATCTGTCAGTAGAGAAGCTGTTGATTGACAGTGTTCATGCACGCTCCCACCAAAAACTTCAAGAGCTCAAAGCCATACTCAAGACCTATAACCCCAGTGATAACTGTGAGTTATACTATGATTTAGTATAGTTTTACAGTATACTACTTTATCCCAGTTTTTTCCCTATGAATCAAATGTTTAGAGTGTTAACCTGAAAAATATACACATTTTAATTAAAGTATTTTTCATAAATTAACTTTGGCCCAAGCTGAAGTAGGGCTGGGTAGTTTTTTTTTTTTTTATATTCAATTAATACATGATGATTACTAATTGAGATTGGAAATGTCATCTGAGTATTGACCAAATTTATTGTGATTCTGATTTTTGCAATAATCGAGAAGCACAATTCACAAATTAGGGTAATTAATCGAAATTACATTTTTAGATAGCCCCTCATGTTAGAAGATCTTTAAAATACAAGCATCTGGTTTGTTTGTGAGAGTCTATTCTGTTTAAAGCCTTTATAGAAACTGCTCTGCCTACCTTGGTCATCCCCATCCTGGAACCCTGTGGTCGCTCGGAGTGTCTCCACATCTTTGTTGATTTGCATTCCGGAATGTTCCAGCCAATGCTATATGGAACTGGTAAGAAGAGGAGTAACAAAGAGTAACAAAGAGTATGGCTCTGACAGGACTTGGTTTCCCCCTGAGTGCTTCTTTTTGTGGAACAACTTAGTGCATGAATCTGGTCTAGTTCTGGGTGGATCAAAACTCTCATCCAGATGGTTAGGATTAGTGAACATCACCTTGATGTCTTCCCTTTACACTTGACTCCTTCTAGATCAGTCCATGCTGGATGACATCGAAAAGTCTATAAACGATGACATGAAGCGCATCATCTCCTGGCTCCAGCAGCTTAAGTAAGAATGGTTACCATCCTGAATGCATCCATGGCATGGAACCAACATGTCACTCACTAGCCGCATTTTGCTCTTGATGTGTATGATGGTGGGACCTCTGACTTGCAGGTTCTGGTTGGGGGAGCGGAGGTGCCGGCAGTCGGTGAAGCACCTCCCGACGGTGTGCTGTGACTCCCTGCTGCTGGGTAACGCTGACTCCCACCCTGCCGGCAGCCTCTCCAAGCATCGCCTCATCATCAAGCTCACTCGCCTCCCGCAGTACCACATAGTAAGTGCTGCTTTCGCTGACACTTCGGTACGATGATGATGAAGATCCGGGCACGTCAGGAGGTCATTTAATCATTCGTGTATTTACATGCTAGAAAAGCGTTTCCTAATCCGGTCCTCGGGGTCCCACGGTCGGTGCACGTTTTTGCTCCCTCCCAGCTCCTGAAAGTGAGGTGAGATGGAACAAAAACATGGACGGCCTGTGGGTCCCCGAGGACTGGATTGGGGAAACACTGAGCCAGAAGATTTTGTTGAATAAATTGAACTCCATTTTCAGAGGACAAATGTGTAGTACCCTCTTTCAGTATATAAAAACTGAAACTTAACAGGACCAAATGCAATTATTTTTGTGGAAAACTTGAACTGTGTATTTGTGTTACAATCATATAGTCTCTCCACATTTTTCTTGCTTTGCATTCTGGAATATTCCAGTGCTATATGTTTACAGTACATGCTGCCACCTCAATTCGACAGCGTTGTTGAAGCACTAATGGTTTAATCTGAGCGCTGATGACCACCCCATTGTGCATCTGCTGGGTCGTTGTAGGTGGTGGAGATGTTTGAAGTTCCTGGCTGCCCCACTGAGTTGGAGTACAAGTACTCCTTCCTGTCTGTCAGCCAGCTGCATTCTGAGGATGCTACATCCAGAGCTCAGCTGCTTCAGCAGTTTAAGTCCAACCTGGAGGACCTGGTGCTAGACTGGGGCACCAAGTCTGGTGCCAAGAGGAAGGTAGGACATTTCCGCATTGTGGTGAAGGTGCATTGAAACACTACAGGCAGGTTAACTTATGCAATTCGAAGTGCTTTACAGAAGCAGAAGGATGCATTAAAGTAGAAGTCATTAAAATCACATTTAAAGGAATTAAAAGAACCACAGCCAAGACAATTGGTTAACCAAAAAGAAGTTACATTGTACTGGCAATGTATAAGAAAACTCCTGCTGATTTTAATTTATTGAAAAGCTACAGCAAACTGCACTGGCTCATTGAGGCCTCTGTGTATTTTTGTGGAACTTTTACTTAAACCTGCTGATTTTTACATTGCATTTTTATGTGCGATTTCATAGCCTCCTTCCTTCCCAAATATTGTTTGTGGCTACATCTGATTGATGAGCTTGGTTTTATAAATAAATAATCCATCTAGGCTGTTGGGGTCGTGTTACAGAAACTTTCTAACTTGCGGAACTTAACTGTTTGGTAACCATGGTAACTAGGGTGATTTTGGGGGGGGAGAAAAGTAATCACAAATGTACAGTTCCTAAATGATTGACCCTATCCTAATTTAGGATTTTCTTCTGTAATACCAAATTATGAAAAATCCTGTTTTATACTCTATCTTGACTTAAGATAGGAAGTTTCTGTAATACGGCCCCTGAGCCTTAAGGCGTGAAGAGAAAATGGAGAAGGATCAGATTCCTTTTTCCAGCACAGTGCCTCACTGCTGTCCTCCTTGGCTTGGCTTCTGACAGCTCTCAGGGGACCGGTGTGCCGTGGAGCCCAAGAAGCCCAAGAGATCGGGCGAGATGTGTGCCTTCAACAAGGTGGTGGCTCACCTGGTAGCCATGTGCGACTCCAACATGCCCTTCATCGGCCTGCGTTGTGAGGTGCCACATTTAGCATATCCAGGCTCTGGATCTTCATGAACCCTTACATGGTCAGGTTCCCCCTGAGTGCTGGTCTGACCTTCCTGTATTCTTCCTGCAGCTATCTAACATGGGGATCCCTCACCAGGGAGTGCAGGTAGAAGGAGATGGCAGCGGGCATGCTATCCGTGTCCTGAGGTACGCGGAGGACTTTTGTGTCTGATTCTATGGGCATCATGAGGCAGCGGGTCTTCAGGCACAATATTTATGTTTGCTGCCTTCCTCTATCTGTGGCTCAGGATCCCTCCAAGCAAGGTGCTCAGTGAGGACACCAGCAAGGCCCTGGAGCGCACCCTGTTGGACTGTACCTTCAGGCTTCAGGGCCGCAACAACCGTACCTGGGTGGCGGAACTGGTCTTCTCCAACTGCCCCCTCAGTAGCACCTCCAGCAAGGAGCAGGGTTGGTAGTGGCATTGTGGCCTGAGTATTTTGGTTCTCCGTGCCCTGTGAGCTGGCCCGCTCATGGCAGCAATGTGGGAAGAGCTTATTTATTCAGCATATCTGCATTAAAATCAAAGTCTTTATGAGAACCAGCCTTGTGATCTAAACTCTCGCCGTGTCTCCAGTCTCCGCACACCATGTCTACCTGACCTATGAAAACCCACTTTCTGAGCCGGTTGGTGGCCGCAAGGTTGTGGAGATGTTCCTAAATGATTGGAATAGCATCAGTAAGCTGTATGAGTGTGTGCTGGACCTGGCTCGATCCCTGTCAGGTGAGCATTCAAACCGCAAACTTGTTACTTTAACCAAAGTAGACCTTATGTGTGTGTGTTTGCTTACTGCCTGACAGGCAGACAGACACTCCACTTCCTTTCTGAAGAGATAATGATTGTTTCAGGACAGTGAAGAGTAGGGCTGGGAAATGACTTGAATTTTAATTTCAGATGCGATTTTGGCTTCCAACGATTATCAAAACCAAGTAATTGAGATAAAAGAATCATTGTGCCACGTTTCGTTTCACAGTGATGCTCCCGTTTTGTCCTGTGCTGAAAATCCAGCACATCCCCATTTCCAGCCTATTTTTATTTGTTTCTTAGTTGATTTATATTTAGAGGTCCAGGAAATCCACTGTTAAGACAAGCTTTTTAAAAACTTCAATAAATGCATGAGTCAAGTCAAGGAGTAATCGTGTTAAATACTTGTGATCTCTGTATTGACCAAAATAATCATGATTATGATTTTTGCCATAATTGAGCCACCCTAGTGAATTAATAACAAGCTGCACCATGTATTCTGAACATCTGCTTTCTCTGCTTATTTTCCCCTGAACAGACATGCCGTCTTATCTGAGCCTCTTTTCGGAGATCCGCTTGTATAATTACCGCAGGCTGGTCCTATGTTACGGCAGCACGAAGGGCAGCTCGGTGAGTACAGTGACGGGGCTCGGGGGCTTGGGGGCTTGGGGGCTCGGCCAAAGCAGTGCGCGGGGAGAGCTTTACAGCTGCTGTGCTGTGGGTCGCGTCTCTTTGTTCTTCATGGGTGCAGAGAATTCCTGCCCTCTTTCCAGAAGTCCGCGTTGAGCGCTCCGTGCCGGCGTGAAATTCCACAAAGGCGGCTTTGTTTCATCTCTTTGTTATTCACAGAACACTGGTCTCCTCTTGGCAAAATTTGGCTTTGAAACATACATTCATTCTGTATGGCTATAGCGGTATAGTACAGCAGTATCCCCCCCCCCCATTTTGTTTTGCTGACATTGTACAGTGGTTATTCTTGTATCGTTTGCGGCAGTAGAGTGGATAGGTGTTTTATTTGTATGTCGTGTAACGTTCATGGACACCAGAGGCGGATGGTGATTTTGAATCTTCTTCAGCACACGCAACTTGGCTAGCAAGCTAAATACCGATCTAGTGTACTGAAAATCAGTGAGCGTAAAACAGATCAAACTCAGAGGTAACTACATTTGTTTGCAATATTTACAGATGCCAGTGGCTAAAGGTGATATACAGAACAATAAACTGTCACTCCGGGTTTCAGTGAAATGCTTCTGCTCCCTGGGATGTGACAGACTGAACGCGCACTGCGAGCCAGCACTGCAGACACCATGTGAAAGTCAGGAGCATCACTGCTTTTGGTAGTTTGTCCTGTCTTGACAAGAGAAGCATGGCTTCTATGCGAGTCTAAAATATCTGACTGCAAGTCTATATGTCCAGTCAACGCTGACAAAGCAGAAGCTAAGTATACTTAGCTTCGCAGTGAAGCACGGAGTCCGGCCAGCCCCGAAATCACATAATCAGTGCAAATTCTCCAGTAAGCTTTCATCTATTCTCCATGTAGACAAAGTGTACAAGGATCTTCCATAGACTTCCAGTGAAGCACGGCGTCAGTGGGCTTTGCTTATATCGGTTTCAAAGGGAAAATTAACGTCTATGCTGTCAAAATAGTGTTTTTTGGTCAGATGACTGAAGTGTAGAACCGTTGTGTCTGGCTACATTGATGCACTGCATTTCACAGTAAGGACCTCTCACCAGCAGTGAAGTGTAGAACCGTTGTGTCTGGCTACAATGATCAGAATCAGAATCAGAATAAGCTTTATTGCCAGGTATGTTGACACATACGAGGAATTTGTTGTAGTGACAGAACTCTACAGTGCAACAGAAAGACAGAATGCACTGCATTTCACAGTAAGGACCTCTCACCAGCAGTGAAGTGCAGTGATGATAGTGTCAGTGGGTAGCTTTGCTGTGGGACCTAGGTGACCTTCCATGATGTCATTGAAGGGCCTGCGAGATTTGCTGTTTTGCTGCGCCGTGGTTTTTAATTCTCACTTGTTCTGACCTGATGCCGTGTTCCTCTAGGTGACGATCCAGTGGAATTCTGTCACCCGGCGGTTCCAGCTCTGCCTCGGCACAGTAGGGCCTAACTCTGGCTGCAGCAACTGCCATAACATCATTCTCCACCAGCTACAGGAAATGTTCAACAAGACTCCCAATGTTGTGCAGCTGCTGCAGGCACAGTACTTTTTTTATTTATTTATTTATTTTAAATGTACAAACGACACAAGCAATTCTGGGCTTTTGTGTCAGGACTTTGTGGTCCTTTCCAATGAAAGGCTGGATGACGGAACGTCTTCCTGTTGATGCCTGAGGTCTTGCTTGTTCTTTGACTCCAGTGATCTTCCATTCTGCAGGTGCTCTTTGATACTCAGGCCCCTTTAAATGCCATCAACAAGCTGCCCACAGTGCCCATGCTGGGACTGACTCAGAGGACCAACACAGCCTACCAGTGCTTCTCCATCCTCCCCCAGTCCCCAACACACATCCGCCTGGCCTTCCGCAATATGTACTGCATCGATATCTACTGCCGCAGCCGCGGCGTGGTGGCCATCCGCGACGGGGCCTACAGCCTGTTTGACAACACGAAAATCGTGGAGGGGTTTTATCCAGCACCTGGCCTTAAGGTGTGAACCCATTATCCTGTTCTACAATCCTTAAATGGTCTCCAGTTAGTAGGTCTTGGTTTTGGGTATCCTTGTCCAGTCACAGTCTTGGATATATTGTATCAAGACTGCTTTTGAAACATCTGTTTCAGATAAGCTGTACCCTTGCTCCTGGTTGGTGTTTGTGAACCTCTCTTATCCTGTCGCCCTCTGTAGACGTTCCTCAACATGTTTGTGGACAGCAACCAGGATGCACGGCGGCGCTCGGTGAATGAGGACGACAACCCCCCGTCGCCTGTGGGGGTGGACATGATGGAGTCCCTCATGTCCCAGCTTCAGCCCCAGCCGGTGATCAGCTCTGTCCGCACTAGACCTCATCTCGCCGTGTGCTCATGCTGGATAAGCTATCGCTAACATTTATCTCCTTGATTTTTTTTCAGTTTGTCAAACAGCAGCCAGGAGGCAGCGTCTACGCTCCACTCACGTCCCCTCCGACCCCCTACCACCAGAACGTAGCCCCATCTCCCTCCATGATCCCCACGCAATCCCCAGGCAAGATCAACAAGCTCGATTCTGTGGTCAGTAGAATTGCTGGTGCGTCTAATCGACTAACGCTGCGATTGGTTGTTTTTTGTGCAGGTAATATCCATGCCGCCAACTCGCCCAGTGGTGCCTTGCGGGCCCCCTCCCCCTTCGGACCCACCCCGTCTCCTTCTTCGCTGGGCATTTCTATGGGACAGACGTCCAACTTTGCCAGCCCACATGGTAGTTGCGCTCAGGGTCAGAACAGGATGCCGGAACCTTCCTCTGTTATGTGCCGACTGACACTTCATTTATGTTGTAGGAGCTTTGGACCCCAGCTCGCCCTACACAATGGTCTCCCCCAGTCAGCGTGCGAGTACCTGGCCGGGGTCCCCGCAGGTGTCTGGCCCTTCTCCTGGTGCCCGTATCCATGGGATGTCGCCGGGCAACCCCTCCCTCCACTCCCCTATCCCCGACGCTTCGCATTCCCCCCGTGCTGGACCTAGTAAGTCCTTCCTTTGCTTGCCCAGCTGCTTCTCCGTTCTCTGGGCCTCGTGGGGCTGATTCCTTCTGTGCCTCCCTGCAGATTCCCAAACCATGCCCACCAACATGCCGCCCCCCCGCAAGCTCCCTCAGCGCTCCTGGGCGGCCTCCATCCCCACTGTTCTTACCCACAGTGCCTTGCACCTCCTGCTCCTGCCCTCCACCACGCCATGCCTGGTGCCCGGGTTGGCCGGCAGCTACCTGTGCTCCCCGCTGGAGCGCTTCCTGGGCTCCGTCGTCATGAGGAGGCACCTGCAGAGGATCATCCAGCAGGAGAACGTGAGTTACCTTGGCTTCGTAGCTCCTGTGAAAGAGCAGGCAATCATATAATAAATAATCAGGAACAGTTGGATATTAAAGGAAATTGGTACAGGATTGTCCTGATTCATAATATAATTACACGATTTAATACTTGTTGACATTTGTAACTTAACGCTCACTCCAAACTCGTGTACAATGAGCATTATTTGTACTTTATTTGAACTTTGTCACACATCTTTTTTCAGTATAACTTTGTTCCTTATTAGTTTTGTATTTTATTGTTGTTTTTGAGGTTTTTATTGTTTTTATTATAGAGGACTTGAACACCTTTCATTTCACTTCAGCTTATAGTCCTATGGGAGGTATTTTCTGCAAAAAATAAAATTAAAATGAAAATGATAAAAAGAAAATACAATCTCCACTTTGCCATTTACTTCCCAAAGTCTGTGCGTAAAAATCCTGCACAAATTAAAATTAAAATGAAATAGCACTATTTGCATTTTAATTTTCCACTCATTTATGAGTCAGATGTGAAAAATTGAAAAATAAAATTAAAAACCCTTTTTGTCTTTTCATTTTCCAATTTGACTTTTCATTTCCTACTTTGGCTTTTCATTTTCAAGTTCGCTACATGCAAACTAATGGCAAAGACACACGCGGCTTAAGTTAGCTACTAGCTACAGCTTCCGATTCATTTAGCTTCTTATTTGTAGCGTCTTATTTCACGACTTAAGGTACTTGCAGCTTCCTTATAGGGGAGTGTTCGAAGCTGCACATCTTGTGCAGTTTTTAGTTAAAACATTTTGAAAATATGAAATTTTCATGAAGCATTTGCTGTATTTGCATAATGAGCCACTCGCTGTATTTGCTATATTGGCCCACTAGATGGTGCTGTTAGTTTGCTTTGGGGCATGCTTTGAGCTCTTTTTGGAACATAGAGCACCATCTAGTGGGGTCAGAAAGTACAGCAAATGGTTCATGAAGCTTCATTTGGCCAT